CCCGCCCCCCACCCCGGTGCTGGCCCGCTGGCCAGGGAAGCAGGGCCTGGGAAGGGATGCAGGGCTGCTTATGAAGCTGAATTGGGAGCCCGGGGTAAGGCGGCAGAAGCAGCAGGGCCCGGAAGCCCCGGGAGTGAGGGGCTGATGCTCTCCTGGGTGGAGTAGGGTTCTCTGGAGGCCCGGTCTGAGCCAGGATCAGGCTGCCGAACCTCAGCCTTCTGGAGAAAGCATGAGACAGGATCACCTGCTGCCAGCCTCAAGGACCCCCACTCACATCACCTCTCCTCTGAAGCCTCCCCTCGCAGCCTCAATGCTCCAGCCCCCGCACAACCACGGCACCTTCCCCATCTGAACATAACACTCCTCGTGTTAAACTGCAACTGGGCATTCTCATGGATGTCGCCCTTCTAGACGGTGTGAGCTTATTGCCTAGAGCCCCCCACTTCTGGCACGGTGTCTAGCACCTCACAGTGTGGGTGCTCAAGAAACGGCTTGTGAATGGCCCACTGTACCTCTGGAGAGGCCGTGGGGTCCCCCCTTTCACACGGGATCTGCTGATATCAAAGCTTCTATAGTCACAAACCGGACAGAGGCTCCTTGAGACCAGTCAGCGTGTGCAGGTGGGCCCGGACCCCCTCTAGTGGAGTTCTCTGGCAGGTGCAGCTTCGGCGGGGATTGCTGGGCTCCTGGAAGACGCCAGGACCCAGGACATGGACCCATTTGCTCTTTGTGAAGCCGGTTTGGCAAATGGCTGTTTCCCAACTCCCCTTCCTCTCCGCAGCCTGACAATTCACTCAGTTCAGGCTGCAAGGGGGGACTCCATTGACTCATGCTCCGGGCAGGTAGCTCTCTTCCCGGCCTCCTTGAACCCACGCAGAGAGCAGACCCCATTTCAACTGTAATAACACTCCTGTCCCTAAACAGGTGAGCACTTTCACTGTTCCGTGGGGTTCACTGGCCTATTTACTTCCAACACACATTCTCTCGTCTCTTCCGTACCCCCCGCCAGAAGGAGGGATGGCAGATGCTAAGTGGCTGAGCAAGTCAAGGCACCGTGGGGACCCGGGTCTGATGACAAGTCTAAGGGACCTGAGTTGTCCACATACATCGCCAGCACCCACCTACCTGCCAGCACACCAGACGGGCTCCCTGCTTCCCTTGAAGGACCTGTAGCCTCCTTTCCTCTCCATCCCCGGAGGCCGGGCAGCCAGGGGGCAGGTCAGAGTGTTTCTCTGGGCCTCTGCGTTAGCGGGGCCCTGTCATCCCGAGGCCGCCGCAATGCACCTACCTTCATTCGGGGCCGCCGGCGACTCCTCCGTGACTGCCTCCCCGGAGCCCACCTGCGTCCTGGCACTCAGGGTGAAGCGGTAGCGTGACACGGGGTCCGCTCTCTGCACCGTGAACTTGGTCTGGTTGGGAGAGAAGTTCTCCACCATCTGCTTTCCTAGTTTGGTTCCATTAACTGGGGGGAGAGAGGCACGTGGGATTGAACTTCAGCAGTGCTGACCGCGATGAGTTGTATAACCTGCAGCTGCAAACCTTCCCAGCTCAGCTGTAAGGGATACGGAGAAACCCGCCCCACGTGAGCACCTGACGGCTCGGGGGATGGGAGGTTTGGGCAAAGGCAGCCTGCAGGGCAGGGGCTCCTTTGTGCTGTTTGAGGACACACAGGGCTGCTACTTTTCACTCATCCTGTGACCTCTGGCTCACTGCAAAGTTGTGCGGCTGATTCTGAAAGACTCTGTGTACCATCCCCAAGCCTTTTCAACAAGACGAAACATACAGGTTTCTTTCTTCCTTTCAAACAGAACTAGGGCAAAGCCACTAGAGCAGTGGTTCTCAACCTTGGCTGCACATTAGAATCACCTGGGAATCTTTTTAAAATCCTGATTTCTGGGCCTCATTCCAGAAATCAGGAGTTTAAAAAGATCCCCAGGTGATTCTAATGTGCAGCCAAGGTTGAGAACCACTGCACTGGAGCAAGCATGTCAAACTCGTGGCCCGGGGGCCACAGGCCTCATTTATTTGGCTTGTGTTGGCCTTTGAGTTTGACATGCTTGCACTAGAGCTTCTACTTAATGCTTCCTTTGTAAAAAGCCTGTTCAGGGTACCTCGAAGGTGCATCTCTGGTCACCCCAGGCTGGATCTGGAGCAGCACACAGCACACAGCTGGGTATTAACACATTGTGGACCAGCAGCTTTATTGCTAGGTTTACCCAGGGGCCAGATACTAGTAAGTTTCTATTGAACGAGTACAAAAAACGTTTTACATAAAGGCACGCTTTAAAATTAAATACCCATTGCATTTTGAAGTTATTTGTTACATGTTCTTACAAGCTAATATCCTTTTAACGAATTCTCATGATTGGCCACAAGCCTTAGGACATAAAAACACGAGAATTCTCGTGATCCGTCTGCAATGTGTTGAAATCGTTAGCACACTACTCAGCCCTTAGTGCAGCAGTTCTCAACCTGTGGGTCGCGACCCGGGCCAGATACTAGTAAGTTACTACTGAACGAGTACAAAAAATGTTTTACATAAAGGCACACTTTAGAATGAAATACTCATTGCATTTTGGAGTTATTTGTTACATGTTCTTACAAGCTAATATCCTTTTAACGAATTCTCATGATTGGCCACAAGCCTTAGGACAGAAAAACATGAGAATTCTCATGATCCATCTGCAATGTGTTGGAATCGTTAACACACTACCCAGCCCTGGCTTAGAGCTTCCCACTGAGCAGCACGCCTACTTTAGAGGGCAGAGGGGATCACGTTTTTCAAATGCAAGGACACTCCTGTCCCTGCAGGGTGACACTGAACTCCTGAGGTGAGCTCCTGATGGGGTCACTCCAAGTTCTCGCCAGGTCTCCATACAGCCGCCTTCCCATAACTGACACCTTGCTGAGTGGCCGAGTGCTGTGTGGCACTGAGCAGCAACATCGCCTACTTTAGAGGGCAGAGGGGGTCACGTGTTTCAAATGCAGGGACACTCCTGTCCCTGCAGGGTGACACTGAACTCCCGAGGTGAGCTCCTGATGGGTCTCTCCAAGTTCTCGCCAGGTCTCCATACACACAGCCGCCTTCCAATAACTGACACCTTGCTGAGTGGCCGAGTGCTGTGTGGAGTCCTGTGCGGGCACTGACTACCCCATCGGATGGCCGTTCTGTCAGAGGAGGGAACCTCTCCTAGACTCGTAGGTGTTGGGATTATAGGATCCCCGAGGTCTGGGGTTGGACCCCTCATTAGACCAGAAGTTCCCTTTGTCACACAGGCAACTAGAGGGACCTGTGTTAGGAAAGCAGGGCTGGGTCTCAACTGCCTCCCCTAATCCTGGGGGAGCTGTTCCCCTGGCAGTGCCCTCTATCTACACCCCAGGGCCCCTGGGATCCTCAGGCAAAGTGGTGAGCATAGGGCTCCTGACTCTCAGATTAGCTAAGAGCAAGCAGAGCGAAACGTACAGGGCAGGTATCGGAGAGAATACCCAGTCAGGATGCCGTTGGGGTGTTCCGGGTGGTCCCACTCCAGGTTGATTGTCTGCAGGTTGGGCTGCCGGACTCGGAAGCGCCTGGGGGCGCTGGGTACTTGGGGAAGGAGAAGAGAGTGGGGGAGGTGAGGGGGAGCGGGAGGGGGCGGGCAGGATGAGGAAAACAAAACAAAGCACAAGTATGAAGGCGCTGAACTCGGGCAACCCCCATGCTAGGCAGCTGCCAAGCCAGAGCCCACGGCCCATCCTGGGCTCCCCCAGTTCAGGACAAGCCTGGCTCTGACTCTGTTTAAATGGGAGAAGTAAATCGAGGGTTCCTTTAGCAACTGCCGTGGATTCAGCACGTTAGGCTCCGATGCTGCGAAGATACCTCCAAGAGGGGCAGAGCACATCTCAGGCAGGGAAACAACTGTCACTGTTTCCTATGGAGGCGGCTCCTTGTCCTCAGACGAGGATTCTCACCTCCAGGTCCAAGCGGCAGGCCCACACGTCTGAGCTGAGGGTGCTGGGCTCAGGGGGGAGAGGAAAAGCCCAGATGGAGCACGGGGACAGGTGAGGGGCAGGAGAGATGGGGGGAGGCTGATTATCAAAACCAAGACAAGCCTGGCTGGTGTGGCTCAGTGGTTGAGCGTCGACCCGTGAACCAGGAGGTCACGGTTCGATTCCTGGTCAGGGCACATGCCCAGGTTTCAGGCTTGATCCCCTGTACGGGGCCTGCAGGAGGCAGATCAATGATTCTCTTTCATCATTGATGTTTCTCTCTCTCCCTTTCTTTCTCTTCCTTTCCCTGAAAACACATTAAAACACACACACACACACACACACACACACATCCTGAAAACACATTAAAACACACACACACAAACACACAAACAAAAACACAAACACAAACAAGGTGGAGGGAAAGACAGGAATAAAGAAAGCAAGAAACACGAACAAGGTGGAGGGAAAGACAGGAATAAAGAAAGCAAGAGGGACCCGAGCCGGTTAGCTCAGTTGGTTAGAGCGCCGTCCCAATACACCAAGGTTGTGGGTTGATTCCCAGTAGAGCACATACAAGAATCAACAATGAATGCATAAGTAAGTGGAACAGCAAATCAATGTTTCTCTCTCTCCCTCTATCTCTAAAATTAATAGATTAAAAAGAAAAGAAAGAAAGCAAGAGGGAAGAATGAAGGAGAGTCAAGAGAGGAGGAAGAGAAGGGGAAAATAACAGCTGAGAAGGGAGGGAGGAGAAACAGAAACAGGCGAAGAAAGCACCAAGCTAATGAGAAAAGATTGGCTAGAACAGGAGATGGACTAGGGTCTTTGTAGGGGTCTGCCTCCCAGGACCAGGGCAGCCATGAACCTGCAGTTGTCAGGCACCCCTCTGCAGGGCCACGGCACCCGCGGGCCAACGACCTCAGCGAAAGCTTCTTGATTGCAGTGGGGAGAGCTCTGCCGGTCCTGGCTGCTGGTCCACTGACCGATGCCTCTAGGTGGTCAGGGTGACCGCTTCAGCCTCAGGTGGCAGGCAGCCCGGGCTCCCGCAGTGCCCTGGGCGTCAGTCTGTATGCCCGTCTGGAATCATGTCATCAGACCACACAAGTGTTCTCTTGAGGTACAACCTCAGCAGGGCAGGCCAGACAGGTGACACGGTGCCGTGTGGGAATGGTAGGAGCTGCTCAGCTCACGGGTCATCAGCTCCTTGAGGTCATGCAGAGGTCAACTGGTGCTGTCCGTGCCAAGCCACGGCGGAGCTGCTCCATGTCCACCTGAATGTTGGTACCTTGACCTGCCCCACCCCGAAGAGCTGCAGGTCAGACCTACCTCCTTCCGGGGTGGTGAACTCCTTGGTCTCACTGCGAGGCCCATCGCCTCTCCCATTGACCACAACCATCTCCAGCTTGTAGTTACTGTAGGGAAAGAGGCGGGACACCACGCCCCGGAGGCGGTCACCAGGGAAGCCGGCTTGCTGTCTCTTCTGAGACACCCACAGGCTCTTCAGTAAGCTGCTCTCCCTCCAGTAGTAGGCCTTCAGGACAGAAGCAGGCCGGTGAGGGGGCGTCAGGCAGAGCTGGGTTAGTGGTTAGTGGTGGTGGTGGTAGTGACCGGTCTTCCCTTTGCTGCCACAGGTTCCAAATCCCAAATGAACTCATCAGTCCCACACAGGGCCGGGGAGGTGGCCGACCGTCCCCGTGCGTTAGCCACTAGCGAGTCTGAACTGATGTCAAACAAGAAACAGGGTGTTTGGTTTCAATCGCCTCTCTGGAGGAGAGGCAAGCTGGCCAGGCTCACAGCTGCACTGCTCCACCATGAGCCTTATTTCGAAGCTGGGGACCCGGTTGCTCAGGGAGTCTGTGCCAAAACCACAAATACCAGCCAAGGGTCCAAGCATGGCAAGCTCTGTCCCGGGCTCAGAGGCCGAGTCCCCTGAGTGGGATTAGTACGGTTTAAGACTGGCGGCAGGAGGAGTTGAAAAATAGCGGGTTACCCCCACAAGTCTGAATATGAGAAAGGGTTGTTTTAACGCTTTGAAGTCAGATGTTGCTTTTAACATTGTCTGAAGACCTTTAGAATCGGTGTCCAAGGCAGTGAGATGCCAGGCCGCCTGGTGGCAAGAGCTGGGACAGGGATGGCCTATGGACGGTGGCAGTGTCACAGGTAAGGCTGAGAGCGTGTGTGACACGAGGTCTGGGTAGCAGTGGGTAGGAAGCGCCAGGTGAGGCTGCCACACCAACGCCACCTAGGCCTCCGTCGGCAAGATAAGGAGGAAGTCCAGACTTAAGAGGGCACCCAGGGGGACCTTTAGCCAGAAAAACCTCCAGCCAAGTAGGTTAAAGGTACAAGCCAACTGTTAGGGAAGAGCTCGTTCAAGAGTGTACACCATCTTGCCTGCCTTCCCCCACTGACACATTCATTTCCCAAGAAGAGATCGGCCCCTCCATTCTGCCCCCCGATTATCCACCAGCCAACGCTCCACCAATGACCTCTGAGGTCACAGAACCTGTGGGAATATCCCGTGGCTACAGCCTCCCTTGCTTCCCAGGCCCCTTTTAAACAGAGCCATTCCTAGGAAGAGCCTGGCTTATCCTGGGTTTCTCTCCCTTTCCCCCAACTCAGCTCACCCTTTTAAACAAGAGAGAAGACTGAGCAGGAACCACTCCCAGGCAGGAAGACCAGAAGCCAGGAGCCGGGATGGCCCCTGTGCTGGATCACCCGGCGTGGCTGCGACCACAGGGAAGGCCTTTGCACCCTTTTAGCGGTTACACCTGTTAGTTGGGGCTTCGCACAGTCAGACCGGGAGAGGCAAGCAGCCCAGCGGGGACCATTAGGAGCAGGCAGGGTGTAGCTCGGTGGTGCTTCAACAGAGCTTCTGTGCACGCGCGTGTATCCACTCACGCCTTACAGGCACGGCGTGCGATGCAACCTCCACCCAAGCCACCGCCCTTCACGTGATTTTCTGCTGAGCACCCTCCGTCAGCATATCCGCTGCAGGACACACCTGGGGGTGTGTCCATGTATATATATGAGTATAATTTTGAGGAGCTAACCCTAGACATCATCTTCTTGAATCAACTCTGGGTTCCACAGCGACCCTGAGGCCCCCTTCCAAATACCTCCTGGCCTGCACCTGCTACCCCTGGCCCTGGTTATGGAGCGGGAGGTTAGGCGGGGCTGGGAGCTGGCTTCCTCACTCGGTACTCTCTGAGCTGGCCCTGGACCGTGTCGGAGTAGACGCGGTTCCACTGAAGGCTGATGGCTGTGCTGTTCAGGACTCGGATTTTAACGTCAGTGGGTGCAGCCCTGGGATCTGCAATGTGTTGGGACAGAGAGCAGGTTATGCCGGCAGGGTTGGCCCCAGGACCCCAAGTTCCCCTCGACTTTTCTCTGCTGCCCATACCTCCGCCCACCCTGGACCCTGAGGGTAGGGACTCTGTCTTCTCCATCAGACTGTGCTTGGAGGAGTGGGGAAAGGCTCAGAACAAAAGGGTGGCAGCCGGGTAGGAGGGCGGGGTTTGCTACCCTCACATGCCAGGCCGTCTCCGTTTGCCCCTCCACTGCTTCTCCACCCTTCCCCACCCTGCCGCATGTCCCAGGAGGCTGCCCTTTCTGGACCAAGTCAGCTGGGCTCCCTTGTTCTCAGGTTTCCAGATGTGTTTGCCCAATGGGCGCCAACAGGAGATCCTGGGGCAGGAGAGGTAGCTATGCCCCTTGCCGCCTGTTTGTGGGGCTGACGGTTGACAGCATTGCATTCTTCTGCCCAAGGCCCCGGCTCCTGTGGGTGGCCCTTGATGGCATGGTGACTCACCCACCTCCTGCCCCTTCAAGGCTCAGAGTCACCCCTAGCCCTCCATGTGGTCACCATACTGTGCTGTTTCCCCTGAGTGCTGTGCTTACATCAGAAATAGTCCGCTTTGAGTGGCATTTGCTTCCTGCCAGGAAACTACCACCAGAATAAAGGCACCTTATCCATGACTACCTGGAATGGGAGGGTCACTCCCTCCCCCATAACTGATTCCCGCCCCCTTTCTCCATTCTGCTGCAGAAGCAGTTTGGCCTCATCCCCTCTACTCCATCAGAGCAGAGGCCATAGAGTAGACAGATGCAATGGAGACTATGGGGTGGTCCATGAAGTTCATGACCAGATGCTGCCCATTCCATACTTGCCATCCAGTAGTCTCCTGTCCAGAAGTGTCTGCCACCATGGAGATGAGGAGTGAGATGGACAGAGGGCCTGCTGACCTGCCCCCCTGCCCCCCACTTATCTCCTTCAATCCACAATCACCTCCAGGAAAGTGGGGCACAGGGCCGAACCCTCACTTCTTCCCATCTCACTGTTCAAACATTGCTGGCCCGGCCCCTGACTCCAGCGTTGCCCCTGTGACTCCACTCCTCCCTATACTCTCCCCAGCCCCCACCCCCCACCATGATCTCTTCTTAGATCAGACCCAGACCCACTGGGGTACAAATCACCCTGACTGGGGGTTGGGGGGAGTGTGTGTGGTGGTGCTCCACTGCCTCTCCTGCCTTGCTCAGCTGTCTACTGGATCGATGTGCTGGGGACAAAGAAGCCACCACCGCCTGGGAAGCCAGGCACCTGCTGCCACATATATGTCCAGAATCTCATTGATTCACCCAGTGCAAGCCCCTAAGGGACTTCTCTTTTTATGCTCAATTCTGAGGGTGAGAGCATCCCTGGGAATGCTGGCAGGAGGCTGGTCTGGGTGGCTCCAGTCTGAGGCTCTGCAGACCTTCTCCATCCCCAAAGGCTGCCCGGGGGAGCCTGGGGAGGAGTCTGGCCCGTGGCCCTGCTTCCTGGGAGGAGCTAACGGCTCCTTGGGATACACAGTCCTGAAGTCTTTCTTGGTGCAGCGAGGATTGGCAATGGGCAGATCAGAAGGCCTGGGTTCGATTTTCACGCCCAGCACTTGCAGTTGTGTAATATGGCCAACATTTTCCTCGCGGGGCCTGTGTTCACATCCATCAAATGAGAGTGCTGGGCTAGGTGATGACGCTGAGTAATTTCAACTGGTGTCCAGATGACGCACTTCCGCTCCCGACACTATGAGGGCCCATCTGTTGCTATGTAGGTCACTGCTTCCTCTTTCCCGGGAACTAGCTGTCCTCCCAGTTCTGGGAAGTCCCACGACCCACCCCGAGGTCCCTAGTCTGTGAGCGTGGCCCTTATGCAGCCCAGCTGGGAGGGTCCCGGATGGGGGCCGGGGGAAGATACTCACAATCTTCTCCGGAGTAACCAATGACCGTGTCTGGCTCCGGGCCCTTCCCAAAGTCATTTTCGGCTTGCACTCGGATCTCATAGGGCACGTAGACAGGGGTCTGCCCTACCACGAAGCGGGAGCCCCACACTGTGGCGTTGTTCCAGGTCTCTCGAGTCTCTCTCCGCCGCCACTTGACGATGTAGCGCAGGTTGGGGCCAAAGGCGGAGGTGGCATTCATGGGCTGGGCGGGGAGAGACAGAGGGCAGAGGTGGAGGGGCAGGTGGGGGGCCCAGACCCACCCACAGCTCGTCTCCTTCTCGCCCAGGCACCCCTCCAGATCTGCCCAACGCTGCCCAGCCCCCACCCTCACTGAGTCCTCCAAGAGCCGAGTCCCATGAACCCAGCAGCACAGAGATTTTCTGTGACAAAGGCGTCCCCCAAGACCTCATCACCACGACTCCCACGTGTGCAAGTGCATAGGGAGCAAAGGCCTTATTTTGGACAGGACTCTTTCCTATGGTGGAGCAACAAGAAAAAATATGGATGATAATATAATATTCTCCAAAGTCAGAAAGGCATGAGCTCTGGGTTAGCCACTGCATGCCTTCTGCCCGTGAACTCAAAGTTACAGAGCCGACTTCAGCTCTCCCTGAGGGCAGGCAGGTCTGCCCTCTGCTCCCTAAGGGCCTGCTCCGGAGGCGGCAAGCAGTCCCAGGGCACAGGATGGAGTGTGGACCTGGAGCAGACCTTGCACAGCCCCGAGGATGTGCCGGCATCTGGGATCGGCCAGGCCCCGCTGCTGAGGCTGCTGGGAGACCAGGCCCTCGGCAGGATGGGGATGGTCTAGACTCCCAACCCCGTGTGTCCTGTTTCGATGAGGCATGGCCACAGCACGGAAGTGCATTTCAGCAGCCAAGTTTGCATCTCTCAGACTAGGAAGTGGTTTGAAAACAAGTCATTCTGATGTCTGGCCTGCATGGCTCAGTGGTTGGGCGTTGACCTATGAACCAGGAGGTCACGGTTCGATTTCCGGTCAGGGGTCAGGGCACATGCCCAGGTTGCAAGCTCAAGCCCCAGTGTGGGGTGTGCAGGAGGCAGGCCACCTATGATTCTCTCTCATCATTGATGTTTCTATCTCTCTCTCCCTCTCCCTTCCTCTCTGAAATCAATAAAAATATATTTTTTAAGGAGGTCACTTTGAGGTGACACATCCAATTCTGATTTGGAAATGTAGTCAGTGAGCCAAAGTGAAGATGGGGTTCTTCAAACCTGGCCTGGAGTTCTCTAGTCCTGACTGTGAGAAGGTCTACGCTGACAACGCCAGCCACCGGCCTCTCCTCACTCCCAGCAATCTCGTGAAAGGACCCAGAACACACCCATGCGAGCACGGTGTTTATGCTCAATGGTTCCCAGTCCAACCTCAACCCCTCCTCCTCCTTCTTGTTTTAATCCTCATACGAGGATTTTTTCCCCATTAATTTTTAGAGTGGAAGAGAGAAGGAAAGACAGAGAAATATCGATGTGACAGAATCACATTGATTGATTGCCTCCTGCACTCGCCCTGACCAGGGCCTGGGCTGGGAAGGAGCCTGCAACCGAGGTGCATCCCCTTGGCCGGAATTGAACCCAGGACCCTTTGGTCTACAGGCCAACGCTCTATCCACTGAGCCAAACTGGCTAGGGCTCAACCCCTCCTTCTTCTGAAGAAAGAAGCCCGTTTTATTTTGCTGGCTCTCTATGGTTTTGCCAGACTGCCCCCAACCACCTCTGCTCCTCTCTCCTGTCCTAAATCTTGTCTAGACACGCTCCCACTTGGTTTCTGGACGCCCAACGCAGAGGAGTGGCCACCAAACCAGCCAGGCCGTCTGAGCCAGCCTGTGGCCTTGGGGTGTCAAAGGCATAAAGGGCGAGGGGTCCCAGGTGCACACTGCTGCCTTTGAGGCTGGGCTGGGCGACACTCACCGTCCACGTGATCTCCATGTTGTTCTTTCTGGTCCCCTCTCCTTTCACGTCGCTGGGATTGGACTCAGGGGCTGGAACCCAAATTGGCACAAAGTTCAAGTCCAATGTGTCCAGGGCGTAGTGAGCACCTCGCTCTTTCCCACCCGACTGGTCTCTCCTACGCTGTTCCTCTGTGTCTCTCTGCTCTCCCGTCTCATGGGCAATGGAACATGCTCTGCCGTGTCTCACATGTGTGACGTGCCTGCCTAGCTCATTAACCCCTCTCAATTGCAATGCCTCTCAGACAGACTTGTCATGAGGCTTTTCACACTTCAGATGCCCACATAGCCAACTCATGGATCATCCCCTTCGTGGATCAGCTGCTAAATATGTTTAATAGCAGGTGGGTTTATCCCAGCATTTAACATTTTGGGGATGTCAACGAGCCAGTGTGATTTCAGAAATCTAAATATTACCCAGGAAAAGAAATCTGATAAAATACTGGGTTACATATTTCTGCTGCAAGTGTTTGCCAGAGCTCTTCTCTTCCAAGCAGACCATCGAAATTATTAATAGCACTAGAGAAGTGGTTCTCAACCTTCCTAATGCCGCGACCCTTTAATACAGTTCCTCATGTTGTGGTGACCCCCAATTTCAATGTTACAAATTGAACATAATTAAAGCATAGTGATTAATCACAAAAACAATATGTCATTATATGTGTTTCTGATGGTCTTAGGTGACCCCTGTGAAAGGGTTGTTTGACCCCCAAAGGGGTCGCGACCCACAGGTTGAGAACCGCTGCGCTAGAGGCCCAGTGCATGAAAATCGTGCGCTGGTAGGGTCCTTAGCAGCTGCTGGCTGGGGCCTCCCTCCCTTCCCCCTACTGGTCTCGCCCCCTGGTCGAACTCCTGGTCGAGGGGACAATTTGCATACTATCCTTTTATTATACAGGATTAGTAATAATAAAAATGACAGTTAACACGAGTGCTTGCATTTCCAATGGAATCCTCACCACAGCCCCTCTGGCACCGTGCTGATAGTACAGATGAGGGAGCCAAGCCTTGGAGACGTTAAGAAACTTGCCCCAAATCCACACAGCTGGGGGCTGGGGGGACCCAGTGGGAGTTCAGGGTGCCTGCTCCAGCGTCGCTGCGGGTGAGCCCTCGGGTACTCACGGGCCCCGCTGGTTCTGTAGCGCTCGGACGGGAGGCTGGGGTGGCTGCTGCCGACCTCGTTGACAGCAATGACCCGGAACTGGTAGTTGACGTACGGGGACAGCTGCAGGACGGCCGAGTTGACGCTGCCTGGGAACTTGGAATGGTCGTGCCACACCCCTGGCTGGAACTGGTCCTCTTCGAACTGGACCACATAGTCTGAGGGCAAGGAAGACAGTTAGTGCTTCAGGGGCTGCGTCAGCTGACTTCTTCCTGAAAGCATCCCCATGGTTTTCATTCTCTCCATAACCTCCCTCGGTAGAGAGGGGCACAGGGAGGGTTCCTATCAAGACACTGAAAGGGAGACAAGGCTTCCGTGGGGTCTGCAAACAGCCCAGGGCACGGGCCAAGTGAGGCAGACGGGGACCGACCCCAGGGCCAGGCCTCCGAGCTCCCAGCTGCCCCCACCCTCTTCTCTGGCCCGGAGCGCAGGGCCTGGCTGACCTGTGATGGGGCTGTTGTTATCGTCCCCGGACGGGACCAACCCCAGGGCCACGCCTCCGAGCTCCCAGCTGCCCCACCCTCTTCTCTGGCCTGGAGCGCAGGGCCCTGGCTGACCTGTGATGGGGCTGTTGTTATCGTCCCCTGGGATCCAGGTCAGCCTCACGCTCCTCTCGGCCAGGTCGGTGAGCTCCAGGTCCCGCGGTCTGTCCGGCCGTCCTGGCAGCAGAGGGAGAAGACACCGCGCAGGACTCCCGAGTTAGAGCCAGGCCTTCCTTGTGGTGGCCCCAGCCCTGGCCACACCCATGGACAGGTCCCTGGAGGGCGGAGGCCACCACAGCAGGGCCCACCCCCAGCCTGCCCTGGAGGGTCAGCACAGGGACCACCCCTTCCCTCAGGGGGTCAAGGGAGAACAAAGAGGAGACTCCAGTCCCACCTCCCTCTCCAAGAGCACCCAAGGATGCAGGGCACAGTCGGACCGGCCGTCCCATTCCTGCAGGTATCTTGGAGGGCAAGCACTTGGGAATGCTTTTCACTAGACGCGTGTTCACATTTAGGAAAGCCAGCGAGGAATGTGGACTTTGTCTTGTTTTCTCAGGATTATTTTCTACTCTGTACGCCACGGCTCTGAGGGGCAGGAGCCAGAGGGTGTGTGGGTGCTGAGTGAGGCAGACAGGCTCAGGGGATGGGAGGGAGGAAGGGGACCAGGCCACGGAGGAGATGGGGATGTGGTCGCACAGGGATGGACAGGACAGGAGCCCAGCAGGCTTCCGACCTGCGGGGAGGCAGCACCGTTTGGGGGCTCCAGTCTCACTGGGCTGCCTTAGGGGGTGTGAGTGCCATCCTGGCCTGGGGATAAAGCCATGCCCCACAGAATGGTGGGGTGGCATAACTTCCCCCTCTATGACTCCGTGAGCCAGCCATTTCCACATGTTGGCCGATCACTGGAAGAATCTGGAAGGTGAGCCCCCATTCGCGTGTGCAGACTGTTTGTGGGTACATAGTGCTGGACATGGAGAGGCTGCAGGAAACGTGGGCCCACAGATGGTTCGAAGCAAGGGGGCCACAGGTATGTCCGAGGCCAAAGAGGAGAACAGGCCTCCCCGTGGGCAAGGTGAGAGGTCAGAGGTCAGGGACGCAGGAGAAAAGGCAGCCAAGGATGTCTAAGCTCAACCTGCACCTGGAGCAGGAAGCCAGGCTGTGATGCTCGGGGAGGGAGCGGATTGGACAGGGTTTGGGGGTGACGCACCACCCACCCAGCACCTCCTGGGCAGTGCTCTCCTCTGAGACCCCACCCTCCCTGGGCCTAGCGAGGGCTGGGCCAGGGTCCCGATTAGTATGAATTACCTTTGGGGAGGGCAGCCAAACGGTTAGTTGGAGTGGTCTGATCAGCTGCAAAGGTAAGACGGTTAACCAGGTTAGCTGGTTATCTGGGGTTAGAGGTGTTCCAAAAGGGTGGGAGCAGGTGGCCGAGGCTGGGAGAGCTGCCCCTGCAACAAGTTTCCCCACGGCTTCCCCTCCTTCCACAGAGCCTCACCTCTAGAGGCCTCCTGTGTCCCCATCGCCCTCCTGTCCCAGGGCCCCATCACCCTGAGCCCCATCACCTCCTTCCTGTCCCAGGGCCCCATCACCCTGAGCCCCATCACCTCCTTCCTGTCCCAGGGCCCCATCACCCTGAGCCCCATCACCTCCTTCCTCTCCCAGGGCCCCATCACCCTGAGCCCCATCACCTCCTTCCTCTCCCAGGGCCCCATCACCCTGAGCCCCATCACCTCCTTCCTCTCCCAGGGCCCCATCACCCTGAGCCCCATCACCTCCTTCCTCTCCCAGGGCCCCATCACCCTGAGCCCCATCACCTCCTTCCTCTCCCAGGGCCCCCTTCCCAGGCCCCCCATCTCCCTCCTCTCCCAGGGCCCCATCACCCTGAGCTCCATCACCTCCTTCCTCTCCCAGGGCCCCATCACCCTGAGGCCTTCTCCCTCCTGTCCCCGGGCCCCATCACCCTGAGCCCCATCACTTCCTTCCTCTCCCAGGGCCCCCATCACCCTGAGCCCCATCACCTCCTTCCTCTCCCAGGGCCCCCATCCCCCTGAGCCCCATCACCTCCTTCCTCTCCCAGGGCCCCCATCCCCCTGAGCCCCATCACCTCCTTCCTCTCCCAGGGCCCCCATCCCCCTGAGCCCCATCACCTCCTTCCTCTCCCAGGGCCCCCATCCCCCTGAGCCCCATCACCTCCTTCCTCTCCCAGGGCCCCCATCCCCCTGAGCCCCATCACCTCCTTCCTCTCCCAGGGCCCCCATCCCCCTGAGCCCCATCACCTCCTTCCTCTCCCAGGGCCCCCATCCCCCTGAGCCCCATCACCTCCTTCCTCTCCCAGGGCCCCCATCCCCCTGAGCCCCATCACCTCCTTCCTCTCCCAGGGCCCCCATCCCCCTGAGCCCCATCACCTCCTTCCTCTCCCAGGGCCCCCATCCCCCTGAGCCCCATCACCTCCTTCCTCTCCCAGGGCCCCCATCCCCCTGAGCCCCATCACCTCCTTCCTCTCCCAGGGCCCCCATCCCCCTGAGCCCCATCACCTCCTTCCTCTCCCAGGGCCCCCATCCCCCTGAGCCCCATCACCTCCTTCCTCTCCCAGGGCCCCCATCCCCCTGAGCCCCATCACCTCCTTCCTCTCCCAGGGCCCCCATCCCCCTGAGCCCCATCACCTCCTTCCTCTCCCAGGGCCCCCATCCCCCTGAGCCCCATCACCTCCTTCCTCTCCCAGGGCCCCCATCCCCCTGAGCCCCATCACCTCCTTCCTCTCCCAGGGCCCCCATCCCCCTGAGCCCCATCACCTCCTTCCTCTCCCAGGGCCCCCATCCCCCTGAGCCCCATCACCTCCTTCCTGTCCCAGGGCCCCATCACCCTGGGCCCATCTCCCTCCTGTCCCAGGGTCCTCACCACCCTGTGCCCCATCTCCTTCCTGTCCCAGGGCCCCCATCACCCTGAGCCCCATCGCCTTCCTGTTCCCGGGCCCCCATCACCTCCTTCCTGTCCCAGAGTCCCCATCACCCCTGAGCCCCATCTCCTGGGACCGTGTGCCTCCACTGGGGAAGGGACAAGAGTGCACTAAGAGTAAGGGCAGTGGGGCCCAGAGAGAGGACAGAGGTGATGAGGGACAATGGGCACTTTGCCTCCCTGGACGGGACCGGCTCCCTCCCCAGGTTTAGGATGGCTTCGTATGTCCAGCGCGGCCTGGACGAGGTGGAGTCGCCTGCTGAGTGCACAGCGCCCTCTGAAATCCCATCGGGAGGCAGGGAGGGAAGGAAGGCCAGCAGAGGTGTTGGAAGGACAAACACAAAGTTCAGTCTTGCTTCAATGATGGATCGTTTTAATGAACTTAGTGGTTTAGAGTTAGCTGTAAAGTTGGTAAAAATGACCACCACAGGACCCCTGTCCACCTTCCCGCTCTCATGCAGGTGAGAACACGGGGAGTTAATAGCTCTACTTAGGAGGCAAGTCAACGAACACAGCTTCTTTCGCAAGGAGCAGCATCCTAACCCTTAGATCAAAGGCAGGAGACTGCCACAGCTGGCGGCTCGCGGACCACAGGGCTGTCCTGGGCCCCGGCCTCTGCGGCTGCAGGAAGGGCGAGGAGTCAGTGCCTCGGGCAGCGGCAGTTACCTAGCACGGTGAGGTAGGCCTTGGCCAGGTCTTGGTCCAGCTCCGTGCTGGCGACGCACGTGTAGCTGCCCTGGTCCCGCTCAGCCACCCCAAAGATGGTCAGGGAGTCGTCTTCCTTCTTCATCCTGCAAAGGCACCGAGGGTTGGGAGGAGGGCGAGTGGGGGGCAACGGGAGAGACAAGGGGAGTGCCGGGCACCGCCTCTGCTTTCTCCCTGGATGGGGGTGAGTCAGAGGGGAGGGGAGCCCCAAGCTGGGCTGGGCAGCCGCAGCCCCTCCTAGGAGACAGGGTGCTCCCCAGCACTTAGGGTGCTCAATAAAGGGGAGAAGGAACGCGGGAGAGGCCGACGTGACCCTGAGCTGCGCTCAGTCCTCGAATGACACCTGCTCTCTGTGCCTTCCTGTTCTGCGCTCCCTCCCACCTTAGACCCACCCCCAAAAGGCAGTGGAGACCCCTCCTCTTCCCATTCTCCAGCTCTATCCCCAGCCCAGGCTGGTCTCTGAACTATCTCCCCTAGAGGGAGGGCACCAAAGAGCAGGCAGGTGTGAGCAGCAAGTGAGTGCCAGGATGTGCCTGCCCTCAGGGGGCCACCCCCACAAAGACCCAGATGGTCCTTGGAAACAGCTGGTGCCTAAGGCAACCTCAGTGCCCAGAGGTAAGAGAAGGTATGCAAAGGACCCTGCGGAGAGAGGCTCGGACCTTGACTGCACAATAGAGACACCTGCGGGCAGGTGTACACACTGTTGGTGCCCAGCCCTCCCCTTCCCCACACCCATTAAATCCGCATCTGGGATGAGGAAGGGGGCAGGCTTGGGCTAGTGAAAGCGCCCAGTGGTCCTAGTAGGCTTGGGCCAACCCTGCCCTCTGCTGGAGAACAAGGGCGCTGCGGGCAGGGCGGAAGCTGCGGGGAAGTGGGGGGCTCCTGGCTGTGATGCAGAAGAGGAGGGAGGGGGGCGCTGCGGGCAGGGCGGAAGCTGGGGGGCTCCTGGCTGTGATGCAGAAGAGGAGGGAGGGGTCACAATAAAGGAAAGAGGAAAAGAGAAGGAGCGAGGGGAGAACAGTGAAGAGAGAAAGGAGTTGGAAAGAGAAGGAAAGAGAAGCAGAGAGCTGATGGGAGAGAGGAAGAGGGTACAGGGGGGGTCCTCCCCTGAGGCCATCCTGCCCAGCCCGGCAGCTCCTCAGGGACAGGCAGGACACAGGCGCCCTATCCCTGGGTTCGGCACCAGGAAGGGGCTAGGGCGGAGCGGAGACCTGTTCCCGATGTAGAGCGGCTGGTCGTCCTTCAGCCAGGAGACCGTGAGCTTCAGGGAGGGGTCGTGCTTGACCCGACACTCCAGCTGCACGGTGGTGCCCCTTTTGACAACCTGGTCCTCAGGCATCCGGAAGATCCTGGTGGGGTCTGCGGAGAAAGCCGGGCGCTCGGCACTGACACGCTCTCTGCCCGTCATCCCAGCGTGGACCCCGTGTGACAGGCACGAGCTCCAGGATAGACTGAGCAAGGGAGGTGGAGAAACAGTCTCCCATTGCGTAAATGGGGGAAAGCCTGGTGTGGGTGATCCCCGACAGTAAACCACCCCAAATCCTCTCTATCTGGCTCGGGAAGGTATGATGCAGTTCCTGGGGTGGCGGTGGAAGCCGGGGTGGGTAGGCTGTCCTTCCTAATGCCATGGGGACCAGGCGGACAGGACTCAGTGTGGTCCCGGCACCCAGGCCAGCGGGAAGCCCTGGGAGAACCACAGACCCCCTGGGAGTGTCCCGCTAGGGATCAGACAGTAGGCATGTGCATTTCCATAGTGAAACACACGCGGGTAACCTGGAGAAGACAGCTTCCTTCCCCAGCTCCACCCCCGTCCCCCGCCCTCCACCTGCCAACCCCTTCTTTACCTTTGACCTCCAGGCGGACCTGGTTCTCGGCTTTGCCCAGGATGTTGGTGGCGACGCAGGTGTAGATGCCTTGGTCCTCTTTGCGGATCATCTTGATTTCCAGGCTGCCGTTCTCGTAGACGTGGTAGTTGCCACCATCCAGGTTGCTCCCTTGCCCATTCTTAAACCTCACAACACAGCAGCAGAACACACCACACACTGAGAAAGGACTGGCCCCGGGGTGCGGGGCCAACCACGCGAGAGAGACGGTGTGGGCAGCGGGACCAGCCCCACACTCGGAGCCTGGAGCCCTCATCCAACCACAGAGTAGCCCCGGCCAGTGCCTGCCCCTCCCCGGGCCTCGGTTTCCTTCTGTGCACAACAAGGGGGTTGACCCAGCTCATCTGCCAACTTCCTCCCAGCTTTGCCCCTTTAAGGTGCCCAGGCCTTGCCGAATACTTAATATGGGCAGATGAAAAGGACAAAGGGTGAGGCAGATGACCCCTGCTGGGAGGCCTGGTCTCCCGGGACTTACCATCGGAGTGTGGGGATGGGGGACCCGAAGAAGGGGCAGTCCAGCCGTGTGCGGTTGTACAGGATCACCCGGATGAGCTGGTTCCGTGGGGACATCATGCGAGGTGGCACGTCTGCAATTCCCAGACAAGGGCTCTTGGGTGGGGTCTCACTCTTCCATCCCTTTCCCGTTGGTCTTATCTCTACGTGCTTCCTCCCAACAGCAGCTTTCCCAGCACCACACCTGCCCCTAACCACGTGGCTCCTCTAAAAAGCCTCGAAGGGGTAGGTAAGGACGGAGGAAGCTTCCCCATTCCCGACCTACCCTCTTTCCAACCCAAATTATCCAGCAGGTTCTGCACCTGCCCCTCCACCGCCCCTCCCTGCTCCGGGAGTGCTGCAAACATCTCAGGACCCCTCCCGCTCTGCGACCTGCTCAGACCCCAGGACAGTCAGCATGGACACCCCAAGGAGACGAGACAGAGACAGGCCCACTGGGTGACACCAGGGAAGGAGGGACCGAGGCTGACTTCCGGTGGGGAATGCACTCTGTCTGCACTCCCGGCTCTGTGGGTTTTAAGCCCTCCCTCCTCCCCACACATCTCATCTCCAGTCTCCACGCTTCCCCCGCCAGCCCGGCCGGTCTCCGGAGAGGAACGTGAGCCCACGTGTGACATGACCACCCGGAGAAGCGGCGCTGCAGGGGCTCGGGGGGACGGGACACGCACCCAGCACGCTGACGAAGGCGTTGGCCAGCAGGTAGCCGTGCTCGTTGGAGGTGTTGCACTGGTACACGGCCCGGCTGCTGATCTGCGTGTCCCGGAAGATGATGGTGTCCCCGGCCACCTCGCGGTTTGGGTTGGGCGGTGCCGCTACACAAGAGGAAAGACGCTTCTTGTGAGACATGGGGAGGGCAGGCGAGGGGAACCTGGGGTTCTGCGCGGGGCTCCCCAGCATGATGGGGTGTCACGGAGGCAGCAGCGCCGGAAGGCTCGCAGAAGACCCCGCTCCGGCGCCACCACCGTGTGGCTGGGAGACGTGGGACCCTTCATTGAACCTTCTGGAGTTTATTTCTCAGTCTGTCCAACCGGGATATGAATTCCTGCTCAACCTACGTAGCAGCTGGGCAGCTGTGGCAACAGAAAGGGGTCTGAGTTCTAACCAGATTCTTGCCAGCATCAGTTTCTGGTCGGCAGAAGGTGGATAACTACCATCTTGTGGGGCTTTTATGAGGATGACCTGAGCTTTCAGGCAGGTGTAAAGTCGCTGGCTGCCAGCATCAGTTTCCTACTGGCAGAAGGCGGATAACTACCACCTTGTGGGGATGACCTGAGCTTTCAGGCAGGTGTAAAGTCGCTGGAAGAGGGCCCAGCCCATACTAATGATCACTGTTGTGAATATTTTAATCCAAAGTGCATATACTTAAGTCTGTTCTGAAAAGGACGAAGCACTAAGGAACCAGGTAGGCCTGCCACTTGCCCATCCTCAGAGCAAAGCTTTCTGCAGACATTCACCAAGTTACACCTGCTAAAGACCGCACAGTCCTTCTACCTGCCAAAGCTACCCACGGTCCCAGGCAAGGTTTCCCCCGCGCAGAGGGAACATTCCATGCCCACGGGTGCATCCGGCTGGGAATCTGGGGCAAATCCAGTCTTTCTGGGCCTCATTTCCTTCACCTGCCAAATGGAGAGGAAGTACTCCCACCTCTCCCCTGTCTAGGAGGGTTAGGAGAAGAGAAAGGTAACAGCTGTACAATATACGTTTTCTAGAAATGTAAGAACTGCCGCTTTTCTCATCTTTCATCACCAGAAGGTGACGTTCGTCTGTGAGACTTCCGGACTGGGCCAGAGGACTGGGCTTACTCGGTCCGTGAACTCATCTGGGATCGCTCAGACCGATCACGGCAGTCGGCCGAGGAAGACCCAGGGTCTGGCCCGTGGGCGCCACTCCACAGATAGCGAGTCTGAGCCGGAACTGGGGAATCAGCAGGCGGTAAGTGCAGTCAAGGTCAGCATCCTTATCACCCTTCCGCACTCAGCAAAAAGGCCTGAGGCCGGCAATGCCAGCGACTTAACGCCTTGCCCAGAGATGCTCATGGCCCCACCTTTCCTCCGGTCACTCCCCGTAAGGGACGGGTGCCCTTTCCAGGGCCACGGTTCAGCTGTGAGTCCTGGGGGCTCTGACGTTTACAGCCTTTGTTTGCCTTGTCCCCAAAGGCTGTCAGGACAGGGCGAACCAGCAGCAGAGGGCAGGCACGTCCCTGTCTCTGCTGCGTCCAGGGGAGGGACAGTCACTGGGGATAAATGTGTGCTCAGTGCTAGGTGGTGTAGGCATGCTGCGTTCCCATAGCAACCCACAGCTTCCTCCTTACTGGTCACGTGACCTCGGGCAGTTCATGGCACCATCAGAGCCTCCCTTCTTCATCGTTAGTGTTTGAGGTTAAAGAGAGAACAGGGCTGCAGCACCTAGTGCAGTGGCTGGAACACAGTAAGGGTCTAAAAAGGTGCTCTCACCCTCTCCTGCACCTGCCTCCCCTGCCTCCCCACCGGCTGCTCTTGAGTTAGGCTCTGAGTTCTCACCATCTATTTTTTTTTTCCCCATCTGGTTGACATCACCTTTTGCATTCCCTCGGACCCCTTAGAGAAAGTAATGACAGGACATTTAAAAAAGTAAATGCACCTGGAGAGAATGACGGGACATCTTGACCAAGCCCTCTGGCTGAAGGGGCCTTGGATCCCCTACTCCAGCCATCCAGGCAGGACGCCCTCTCCCCCAAGTATGGGTTACTGAGCTCTACTCTATCTTCCGAGCTCCACACATCACTCAGAGCCCAAACTCTCAAGGAGATGCACCGCAGACCCTAAACCTTGAACTGGGCTCTGTGGTTGTTAAGGGCACAAAGCAGAGATAGATGAAAACCCCCAGGGAGCAGAAATGCCCTCAACACAGAGAAAACCCCAGGCCCCTGCCCTCTCACGCAGGCACGGGGCAGGTTTCCTGCCTCTTGAGGTGTCCAAAGAGGTGGCTGCTCCCTCACTTCTGGAACAACCAGGGGCACACCACAGGGACAAGATCGGGAGCCTTTGATGGCAGAGAGAGCAGCCAGGGGAGACGATGGCTAGTTACTCACATTGCAAAACCCCCTGCCCTCTCACGCAGGCACGGGGCAGATTTCCTGCCTCTTGAGGTGTCCAAAGAGATGGCTGCTCCCTCACTTCTGGAACAACCAGGGGCACCATAGGGACAAGATCGGGAGCCTTTGATGGCAGGGAGAGCAGCCAGGGGAGACGATGGCTAGTTACTCACATTGCAAAGGTTCCCCATTCACCATCCACTGGACAGTGGGCTTCGGGTTCCCATTGGCTCGACACACCAGCCTCCCATCCTCGCCAGGAGCCAGGATAAGGTTCTTGGGCTCGTCCAGCCAGTAGGGAGCAGCTGGAAGACAAGGGCAGCACAGGCAGGAGTTAGATGGTGCAGATGGGCTTCCTCTAGAAGACAGGAGCCTCTGAGCGCCAGCCCAGCCCTCAGCGCCCGCCCGGGGCTCATCCTCACGGATGGCTCAGTCCAGCCTGCCTTCGGCCGGCTCAACACCAGAGATGCCGACCTGCCTATTTCGAGTTCACAGAACAAGAGTTCCAAACTGGGGCTGCTCATGAGAGTTCCCTAAAGAGCTTTTAACCAACACGGATGCCAGGACCCAGCTCAGACCCACTGAATCGAAATCCTCAGGGGAGGTTCCGGGGGCGAATGCTTTAAGAGGTCCTGGTGTTCATGATGGGCACCCAGGGGCCCAGCCAGGGATGGTGGGAAGGCGGGCACTGGATTGGCCCCTCTGGGTTTCTGTTGTTGCTGCTGCAAGATGAGACCTTTCAGGAAAGGCCTGCTACTTACACTCACTCTCTTAGGCACTGAGCTTTGGGTAGAGCAGAAGCTCATAGCTGGCCACCCCTTTCAACTGTTTGGAAAATTTCACAAATATATGGATACTAGAGGCCCGGTGCTTGAATTCATGCTCGGGTGGGGTCCAGCTGGCCCGCCCTGATTGGGGCCGATCGGGCCAGGCCAGTGGAGGGGGAGGGTGGGCGCATGGGAAGTCGGCTGGCCAGCCCCACCCCTGATTGGGCTGGGGGTGCCGATAGGGTTGGGGGGCGAGATCGGGGCCACAGTGCCCATCAAAGCAACCAGTCATTCTGTTGGTTGCAGTGTTCTATATATATAAATAGATATGGATTTTTCTGAGAACAGGGTTCTTTGTACCAAAGCTCTTGATACCCCCTAAAAGATTAAGAACCTCTGGTCTGAGTGGAGTGCTGAAACCAAGGTCACATGTTCAACTGAGTGTGTGCTAAGAAAGTTCTTACACTGTGGGATCAGACTTCATCACCCCAGTCACCCATCCGGCCCGGTGAGAAGTGACTGGTGTCCCCCGGCACCCGTGGCTGGCATCCACAAAGGCATGTGTTCTAGTGCTTATGAGAGCTCAGGTGGGCCAGCTACGCTTTTAGGGGAGGGACGTGGCTTTAAAAAAATAGTTTGGGCCATGATGACTCCCCATTTTTAAAAAGAAACAAGCACAGAACACAGACAGCACAGGGAGAAGATGACACAGTGTGAACAGGAATGCAAAATGGAAAAGGAGAAGGCTCTTGGTGTGAATCAAACAGACCGTGACATCCACCTGCTGAGGGAGCCCCGGAGAGTTGCGCGATAGTCACATCTTCTTCCCTCAACACACCTCTCTCTCTCTCTCTCTCTCTCTCTCTCTCTCACACACACACACACACACACACACACACACACTCACAAACACTCTCACCTCCAGGGTGACACCATCCCTGAGAGGTCACTATTGCCACCGACCAGAGTGTTGAGTTTCCCCCGCGCACCCTGCCCCAGCCACCCTCAGAGGAAAGGGCGGCCATGGCGTGTAGGGCTGGCAAAATCATCATAATGAGAAATACACACAACGTACCCTTTACTCTCACCGAGATCGTGTGCCGGATGCTGCCCATCTTGTTGGAGGCCAGGCAGAAATACTCCCCCGAGTCTTCCTCAGACACGCTGGTGATGCGCAGCGCCTTGTTGAAGTTCTCAAACTTGGCCTTGTCCGATGGGAGGTCCCCGCCTTTCTTGTACCACGCGATGTCTGGTGTGGGGCTGGGAGAGGGACCGGGCAGGAAACACGGATTTATTACAAACCGTGGCTCTGCAATTCTCCTACGGAGCCCAGGGGTCCTTAAAGGTACGTGGGCCCAGGGATACCTGTCCTCCGACAGCTGTTCTCATACAGAGGGCGGCTCAGGGCAGAGCATCTGAGGGACGTGTCTGAGGCCACAGAAATGCTAACCTGCACAGCACGCCCGCCCATCTCCTTTCCTCGCTATCCAAAGAGAGATGGCCAGGATGGGATGGAGAGGACTATGCTTTGCAAAGTCCTCACTAAGGGCTGTGTGCTTCTCCTTCTGTACCCGAAACGTGGCAGAGAGAGCACGCACAAGCTCCCTCCCCAGCCTCCTGAGGGGGGCGGCCAGAAGTGGGGTGAAGTGGTACGTACACCCCGGAGGCGATGCACTCCAGCAGCAGGTCCATGCCGCGCAGCACCATCTGACTGCTCGCGGTGCCCTGCGGGTACATGAAGCTGGGGGTTCTTTCTGAAACTCCTCGGGCTGCAATAGGACAGAACAAGATGGCTGAGCCTCCTGCCCCGGGGGCTGACCCATATAGGCCAAGGCTGTCAAGCTAGGAAGAGATGTCATCTCGCCTGGCTGTCCCCTTCCCTCAGAGGCACCAGTGCCCGCACCCTCCCAGCCGAAACCACCCGAGGGCTGGGCTTCATTAAGAGAGTGTGTTAGGAAGCTCGGGCTCCTGGGCCCCATGGGCACATGGGTGAGCAGCTCTGCTTCTGGAAGGACCTGCCAAGAGGAGCCGCTTCCCTCCCCGGTCCCTGGAAAGGGGGTGGGGCTGCCTGAGCTGCGAGTGGTTTGTTCCCTGAGCATCTTGTGTTGGGACCCCAGAGGCCAGTTGGGTGGACCCTGGGGGGCCATATCAGCAGCAGTGGGAGAAAGGGAGGCACACATTGGGGCCACAGGGCAGACAAGCTGCTCTTGGGGACCCTGGAGACAGGAAGCTGAGATGAAGCCATGAGACCCCGATGAACAGTCAGAGGTGTGGGGAGCGTTACTCATGGGTTAGCAAAGACATGGGGAGAATTAATGAGCAGAGATGACAGGAAATCACTTCTGGGGCCAAGACCATTCGGCTGCATCACTAATGACTTCAGAAGGGGGCCGGGCAGGCGGGTGTGGATTACACGTGAGGCGCTGGGGGAGGGGATCTGCAATTCAACGAGGCGGAGTAGCCACAGGCTGTGAAGTTAATGACGTGCACAGGTGTGAAGCCAGGTGGCCCGCAGAGATGGACACTGTCAGGGTGGCCGTTTCCCAGTGGGAGGGGTCGGGCGAGTCTGGGCAGAGCGGAGCCCGCCCTCCTGAGCTCAGGGCTCCCTCAGGGCTCTGTGTAGTTCTGTTAGTTGGATATGATGGAAGGAAGAGGAGCAAGGAGTTTCCAACCAGGAGCCCAAAGCACAGGGAGCCTGAAGAGGCGCCTCTGCCCAAAGGTGTACAAATAGACACACACGTGAGCCTACTCATGGGCTTCCTGGGTCTCCGACTCAGCCGGGAGGGGAGAAGGGGAGGAGGGCAGAGCTGCCAGGAGCCGGGAGCCCTCAGAGTGCCCGCACACAGAACAAAGGCGTTTTTCTGGGCGGAGCCTGTTAATGGAGGCTGGCAGAGAGAGGACAGCGTGGCCCGGGCACTCCCTGACACTGGGGTTTCCTAAAGGAGCTTGCTGGACTAGCTGGTGCCTGGCTGGATCAGCAGAGTCTAGTCCCAGGGGCACTCAGCTTCTTTCCATTAGCCATTTCGTAGAGTTTGCGCCTGTTTTATCCCTTTGTCAGGGGAAGAAATGATGAAACGCATGCAAAGGTAGTTAGGCGGCTGGAACAACACATGGCATATAGCAAGTGCTCAATGAACACCAGTGGGATGAATGAATTCAAGGGTAGAAGAGAACAAAAAGAAGGCAACAAGCGACCCCCCCGCCATGTTATTCCTCCTGCTGTAGATGTCCTCATCTGTCCCACCAGCACACACATTTACCACAGTGGCTACTGAAGGGGTTAATCCATTATGTGGTTAATTGGTTACTGTCCATATATCTATAACTCTTGTAGCATCCAGCTCTCGGTACCAAGGAATCTGATACCAAAGCAGTAGCTTCCTCCCACCCATCGTCATGGGATCACCCAAACAGACAACACAAGGTCAAGGGCATCATGAGGAGCGGGAGATTTCAAGCAGGAAGCTCTGCTGTCAGGAACCCTAGGATTATGTAGAAGAGGTCCCAGCTCAGTTGGCATACTCCTTCCTGCAGGGACACCATCTGCAGAAACCGATCTGTGACCCTGTGGACATTTAATTCACACCACAGCACACAGCACCACAAGCACACATGGCCAGCAAAGCATTAAGTGTGGGAAGGAGGAGGAGAGAGCACAGAGTCCCACTGTGGGTGCCTTGACACCCTGTAGCTGTGACTATAAAATGGTGACCGTGCCCGGCCAGAGGGGCTCAGTTAGTTGAGTGTCGTCCCATGTACCAAAGTGTTGCCGGTTTGATTCCTGGTCCAGGCACATACCTGGGTTGCAGGTTTGATCCCCAGTTGGGGAGCATACGGAAGGCAACCGATCAATGTTTCTCGTTCACATTGATGTTTCTCTCCTCTCTCTCTCTCTCTCTCTCTCTCTCTCTCCATGTCCTTGCGTGAAGATTAAAAACAAAGGTTATAGCAATACTTTATGTGTAGGACGTGGGCTAGCAACCACAGAATTATCCTCAAAGGGGAGAAGCTACTGGGAAATAAGCCAACGCTCAATATAGGGAAGAGCACCCTAGAAGTCAGAGGTAATCATTGGGGCCGCCATTGGGTGAGCCTTCACTATGGACCAAGCACTGCGCCAGCACCTCTATCTACATCCTCGTGTTCAATCCTCACAACAAACCTGGGGCTATCACCCCCATTTTCAGCAGAGAAAACCGAGGCTCAGCGAAGTCAACAGACATGCCAAGGTCACCAGCAGTTATGTTTTGGATTCTGGACCATTTAGCCCCAAAGCTTTTGTTCTAACATCTACTCTGTATTGCCTCCCTCTTTAAAGATGGATACCTCGCTTATCCCTACAGCTTTGGGAATATGTTTCATGTTCAAAGAAAAACAAAATTCAAGGGCAAAAGAGGTGGAGGAGGAAGGTGTTTTCATCTTAGTTTCGGTGGTGAAACTCTCCCACTGTGTTTTCCTCAGATATTGTTCCCACTGTCTCGGGTAAGATGCCATCTCTCCTCGGTGACTACTAAGTACACTCAGGCCCGAGTGGGGAAAGAAGCTGGGCTGGGAACTAAGAGGCTCCAAAGGCATCTCAACTGGATTCTTAAGGCCATGAAAAGCTGGAAGAGGCGTCAGGGTGACACGTGATATCATCCGGGACAAGAAGGCCGGTCCAAGGGGAGGTTGTAGAGATGGGGTCAGCTGCAGCAGGAGGCATTTACATAAAAACTTATGAAGCACTGCCCTGGCCAGGTGGCTCAGTTGGTTGGAGCTTTGCCCGGTACACCAAAAGGTTGTGGGTTCGATTCCTGGTTAGGGCATACATAGGAGGCAACCAATCGATGTTTCTCTCTGACCCTGATGTTTTTATCTCTCTCTAAAAAATAATAAAAATAGTTCCTCGGGCGAGGATTAAAAAAAATGTATAAAAGATAATCCAGCTGCTGGAGAAGCAGACCCAGGAAGAATCTCTGAGACAAAGGTGCTTACTACACGACACTCTACGAGACGCTAATGGAAGATGACAGTTTCCAAGAGTGACATAGGACACCCCTTTCACCACGGAGGCGGGGATCCCCTGTCCAGCTCATGATGCTTCCCTTAGGCTCCCTGATTTTCAGGGCTGGGTCGACCCAATACCTGATCGAACTCAGAACCCAGAAGCCAATTTAGGGAGATCTTCCACGTGGGCCCATTGGACCTTTAGCCCCAGGGCAGTCTCTGCTCTCCTGCTCTCACAACTGTGGCTCCAGAGTGGGCATACGGGCTTCCACAGGTCAGCCGGGGACATTAGGCCATGGCACTGCCTCAAACACCTTGACTTCAGGGGCCAACAAAAATGCCTCCATTGTTTCCTGCAGGAGAAAAGGTCGAGGCTGCGGAACGCCCGAGCTGCTCCCCTCTGTCAAGGGCTGTCTGTTAGCAGAGGAGGGGTCAATGGATCAGATGTACCCAAGAACCTTTGCCAAAAACAGCTCTGAGGGGCAGCCGGATCCTCCGTTTGCTGCTTTCAGTTCTCGGAATTGAGGACTCGTGGGCTGCATCCCTGGCATCTCACCCACTCTCAGGCTCTAGGAACAGCTGACCAACCACCCCAGACGACAAGAAAAACTCCTTATCTGGTAACATCTGCTCTCTCCCGCTGCCGGGAAGTCCCTTTGCAAGTCTAACCCAAACCTCTCAGGCAGTGGTGAGGGCTTTTTCTTCCCCAGCTCTCAGCACCAGGAGATCCCAACAGCTTTTGTCTACAGTCTGCCCTGAAGTTTCTCCCTCCACAGTACCTTCTTCCCATGACTGTTTCTACCTTTCTCCCCTCGGCGTGCCTTCAAGGACTCGCAGTTCTTCCTAATGTCAGAAGCGTAGGGCAGTTATACTTCAGTCAACACTCAACCATTCCCTTCAATCTCACTGGTGCTCCTGACCCCATGCCAGGAACCATATGCATGTCACCCTATTTAATCTTCACCACGAAACGGTGGGGCAGGCAGTGGACCCTTTTTGCAGATGAAAAGGTCTGACCCGCTCAATGACTTGCCCGGTGTCCATCAGTGGTGCATCCCAGAGCCCGGGTTTAACTCATGGCAGCCTCCTTCGGCGTGCACACTCTCATCTTCCTCGTCTCCTGGTCTGGGTAAGTTCTAAGTGGCAAGTCAGGGGGCATCGGGCATACATTCAGAGGATACCAAACCACTGCAGAAACCACTAGAACGAAATGAATTATGGGGGCGGGGTGGCCCCACTGCTGCAAAGGGGACCTGCCATGTTTCACGGCCAATGTTTCACAGACATGCACTGGACATTCTTCATCGCACGGTCTCTCTGCCAGGTCTCTCACTCAGGAAGGACCTTATCTCCGTTCCTTTCTCTTCACTTCCTCTTTCTTTCTAGAAGCATCCAACACAGCTGTCCTTTGTTCAGCACGTTCCTCACTTTGACTTGACAACCTTCTTAGCTGTCATCATGCTTGGTCAGCCATTCTTCCGTGAATTCAAGAGAAGGGGTCCCTCTCATGTTGAGGCAGGACAGTAAGAAGCCAGGAAAGTTCCTCGGCGAGTGGGACGGGGAAACTGAGACCGACAGCTGGACAAAGTGGTTGAGCAACTTACAGTCAGATAGAGACGGTCACCAGGGCAGGGAGCCCCAGGTGCCTGGTAACAGGCGAAACTGGTGCTGAACCTCACCCCGAGGGTGCCCTTTCCTCCCCTGGCATATCGCTGGTCACGCTGTCCGGACGCCCTGACCTTTTCTCCCTAGAGACAGCATCGGGGCCTCAGTTGTATTTCAGCTCCAGGTCCAGGAAAGCAGTAAGGCCAGGCGGTGATGCCAGGCCCAGCTGCAATGACTAACGACCCCTTCCCTGGTGTCCATCAGCCAATGAAGACCACGACCCTGAAAGGGCACATCTGGAAAAGTGACGAGTATTCTAGTGCGATCCTCCTCCTGAGACCTCCCCTAAAATCCCTGCCTGCCTTTGGAAAGCAGATAAAACCCCTCAAGACAAAGAAGCCGGTGCTCACTTGAATCTCCTTTTTGAGTGAATTATCTTCCTCTTAAACTCTAAGTGTCCCGACAAGACTTGCAAGTGAGGAGCAGCGGCAGCTCATCCCAGGTTAAACCCCTGGGCCTGTCTCCAAGGCCCCCTTTCCTCTGACTCTCCCGTGAGCTGGCCCCTGTCTCGCCTGGGCTCACTCTTTCTTATAACATTTCTATAGAGACAAAGCAGCCGGCCTAGAATTTCTTCTGTAGCTTCTATCTTAGCCCTTCCTGTCCCACTGTCCCCAGCTCAAAATCACCGGCTGGTGTGGTTTAGTTGGTTGTGTGTCATCCTCGTAGGTTCGATTCCCAGTCAAGGGCACATTCCTGGGCTCAATCCCCGGTAGGGGGCGTGCCGGAGCCAGCCCAGCGATGTTGCACTCTCACATCATGTTTCTCTCTTTTTCCCTTTCCCTCTAAAAATCAATAAACGATTCTTTAAAAATAAAAAAGAAAAGAAAAGAAAAAAGAATCACCTGGACTTGTGTTGTGAAATCTTTCCTGCATGAAGTCAAGAACCTACACACCACAGGCCGGCTGCAGGCAGACCTGCTCTGGGCTGGGTCCCTTTCCGGTAACAATGCGAGCACTTGTGAGTTTCGCTTGTTTTCATAGCCCTTGGTTCCTACAACTCCCACTCATTCACTTGTAATACTAAACTGGTTTAAGCGGCTGGAATCACCCAGGCCTACTCCACTGATAAAACAACTCCATATGCTTATGCTCCGAATTGTTTATCTTCCATAAAGTGAGGAGCTGGGGCCAGACGGTCTCTAAGGGACCTTCTGCTCTGATGTTCTCCCGCTTTAAGAATACTTCTATAATAGATTACCCGAAACCCAATTTAGAAGAAGGCACATGCCACACCAGTGCGCTGGGGCTCTGGACACAGTGGCGGTTGCCCCATCGTTTAGAAAACAAATAACACCCAGAATCCAGCAAAGGTCCCCCGCTTCCTCAGGCAGTAAATCTCCTTGGCAGGATCTCAGTGTGGCTCCAGCTGCTTGGTGCCAAGTTAGAACCTTTGCCTCTCACCCCTCTTCGCATCCCCCACTCGCTGTTTACATTAGCACATGACAATACAGACACTTCCTGTCTAGTGGAGCCCACCACGCTGCCCTGGGGACCTGCAGTCTCAGCTTCGGAGGCCAGGCTGATGATGGGGGCCAGCTGTCTTGGCAGAGCCAGAAAATGACGATTCTTCTGGCTGCTCGGGGAAAGAGGGCATTCTCGAGCCACGGTGGGAGTAACCCAGGTGTGGAAGGAGCCAATTACTCCACTAACCAGCGTGAGCAACCCGTTGCGTGATGAGTTAGTTATGCCTCATGGAAACTGTTCTGTGACTTGCAAATGTGTGGGCCGGTGGGCACTGGATTTGCGCACCCTCCCAGAGGAGAGAGGGGGCCCCGGGACAGCACAACTTCATCCATATTCACCTTGAGAGAGAACTCAGAGCTGGACTCTCCTATTTCCCAAGTGGATTTTAAAGAGGCAAGGGGCCTGTGATATGGTATCCCCACTAGCTATGGCTAGACTGCAAGGCAGGCAATTCACACCCAGACACTTAAGAGTTAACAAAACACACACTGCAAAGCTCTCTGTGCTCTTTAAACCACTATAGGACCAGACTTACTGCTTCTTCCTCACCCTCAGTTATCCTCCACCCACCTACCACGGATGCCCAAGTTTCTACCGAACCCTCCAGGAAGCTCTTTTAAAGTCCTCCCCTGGTTTGACCAACTTGTGCAGAATTGACCAACTGGAGGCCTGCATGTAGGAGGAGGCCAAACCACAACATCAGCCACCTCCAACTCCCAAACTGGCTGCTGTCTTCCTTGCAAGCAGCGTTCTGCAGGTGGCACCTTGGTCCCCTGGCCTGGCCCGCTCTCACACCTGCCACTCAGCACGAGTTAATGACATGGTATCAGTCAAGTTAGGCAAACTGGGGTTAGGACAGGCAAGGTTACTCCCAAGGTTACCACAGCGACTCACCACTGTACATGTCAGGGTGGTTTCTTAAGGACGAGTCATTATAGGGGTGGTCTGCAATAAACAAAAGAGGGTGAGCAAACAGGGGGCCACAGAGGCATAAACGGGGGAGAACAAACAGAAATGCGAAGCCACAAAACAACCTTGAGCGCACCCGTGGTCTCTTGCAAAGGAAAGACGCGGCGAACTTGGAAAGGAAATACGCTTGGGGCAGAACAAGCAACACAAAACAGCCCAACAAAGAAAGAAAAGGTTAAATCCTGCAAAAGAAGGCAATTAAAAAAAGATAAGTTTCTTTTTAAATTAAAAAAATTAGGCTTGGCCCTTAACTGCTTGGTCCAACGATATTTTCAAACAAAGGAGATAAGGGTTAGTGATACCCTGGGGCAGTCTTTGAACAACTGCTTCCCATCAAAATCCTCAGGTGCCAGGCCTCTGGGTCAAGCCAGCTCTTGGGGGCTAAAGAGAAAGGAGTGTCAGTGAGCCCCGGGACAGGGCCGAGTCCTGTCTGAGCAGAAGCCAGGTTGCAAAGGGGTGGGAGTGAAGGAGAGGAGAAAACCGTCCAGAGAAACATTCGTCAGCAGAGGGGGAGACAGGGACCCTTGGCAGCAGCCGACAATGTGTGCTGACCAGCAACACGCACCCCCAACCTGACCAGTGGGTGCCACCCTGGTCTCCGAGATGTGTCTGTGGGCGGAAAGGCCTCCTTCTGAGGAGGCGAGGAGTGGTCCAGGGAGCGGGCAGAGCTAGGCTGAGGCTCAGATTTTAGGATTAGAAAGGGCATTTGGAAGGAGGGGGAAAGAGGAAGAGGGGGCAAAAGAGAGAGAGGGGTACATGATAGCTTTGAGTTCTACACTGTGCACTGGGAGAGGCCTGCTGACTAAGCTGAGACTCAGAAGCGAAGACATTCCTTCAGGAGCGAGACCAGAGGCCTCGTTCCAACACTGGGCGAGTAAAACCCTTGGGCACTGAACCTGCCGTGAGGAAGCATTTTGACGTACGGCACATGGTCATGCCAAGATTGGTAAGTAGCGTCTCCCTGTTGTGCCACCATCCCTTCCAGCCACTGGGTTCAGGTTCTGTCGGTAGCACAGGCTGGGGGTAGAGCAGGTGACTGGCAGCCCGGCAGCCAGCCCTGAGAAGCCGTAACTGCTCCCCCGCCTGAGGGAGGAGAGGTGCCTGCCAGGACGTGGGCCTATTGGAGGACAGCTCAACCCGGTCACAGCTGACTGGAGACTGGCCCTGTAGGGCTGCATGGCTCTGCATCCCAGCAGGGTGATGCTCAGGACTTAGCCCTTAAGGCAGGGTTTGTGTAAAAGGCCTGGCCTGTGTTTGGAAGCCAGCGTGGGTTTCCCTGGAGCTAAGGATGGACTTGACCTGCAGGGAAAGAAGAGGCGGAGTGGCAAAGGGTAGGTCTGGCTGTGGCTGGACTCCTGGGGGAGGGGACGGGGACGGGGACACACAGGGGACAGGCCCTTGTTCCGTGCTCCCACCCAGAGAAGAGACCCGCGCTCGGACTGCGCCTGCGTTTGTGGACCTGGGAGCACAGCTGAGAAGTTCAGGGAGGCCTCTGACTCCTCGGAGAGTGTCACTTAGACACAGATGTTAGGAGGCGGTGAGTGCTCCTGCAACTCCTCGGGGAGACCTCTTCCCTCGCTAAGGCTGCCTCTTGTTGTCCAGAGGCACCGGGTGGACGGGACCTGCTCTGCGTGGGACTGCACCCCAAACAAAGTTTAGAACTGATTCCAGATGGCAGTGCTGTGTTAGGCACCCCTTCCTTTACTGCAGGAAATACAAAATCCACTGAGATGAGATTTATTCCTTCCTGTGTGCGAGCTGTGGCAGCTGCCCCACCTCGGCCTCCCACCCGGCCTGGTCCTGAAGGCATAAGAAAAAGCCTGCGTCCTTGCCAGGCAGGGAAGGGGAGAGAGCACATGTGAGCTGTGCGGGTGCCTGGAGCTTGCTCCCAGCCAAAGCTGCCCGCCGCGATCCAGGAAGCCGGCAGGTTCTGCTCGCAGCGCCCAGGGCCCCTCGGCATTTGGAGGCATTTTCATTGGCACAGGAGACCCAGAAATGGAGCAGAAACAGACATCCCTTTTATCAGAGGGAAGGAAGTTTCTGGAAAGACCAACTTGTAAATGTGGCTGAAATCTCTCACTGCTTAATGCCCCAGAGGAGGGCTCTTCCCCACCTCCATCCCCGCCTCTGCCTGTGGGGCAGCTGGGACAGCGGAGGCCTCTGCCAGGACCACAGGCGGTCACCTGACCCAGTCGTCACACAGCAGGCTGACTGCAGGCCTGTCCCGGGCAGGGAGAGAGGGACCCGGGATGGCACTGCAGGCGTCAGGGATCGGCTCAGTGAGCAGCTCCTGACCTCCCCTCCCTCCCCCCCACCTAACAGCGCCAGCCGTGTCCTGGCCCCGGAGGCCGCTGAGGTCCTGGGCAGACCACGCTGTCCTCCCGGTGCGGCCAGCTGGCAGGCAGGCACCCCTGGCGTGCACCGAGGAGACACCTCAGACAACCCAGCTTGTCTAGAATAAGAAGGCCAGGGAGGGGCAGCAGCAGCCGGAAGTTGGGTGACCTGCCGGGAACATGCGGGGCTTGTCCCTGGGTTTCTGGCCATCCCGTTGCTCAGAACAGAGTGTGGGGACCTGCAGAGGCACCAGGGGGAGGATTAGAGGGGGGGGAAACCCGGGTCAAAGAACAAGAGCAGTTGAGAGAGAGGGGGAAAGAAGAAAGAAAGAGGAAAGGGGAATAGAGAGGAAGGAAGTGAAAAAGGAAAGGGGAGGAAATGAAGAGAAAGGAAAAAAAGAAAGTGGGGGGAAAGCAGGGGAAGCTGCTTCTTGTGGCTCCACCTCGAGGCCACGTGGGAACGGTGGGGTGGGCTGACGCTTGGCACTGCGGGTCTCCATCGGGGGCAGGGACTGGCGAGGAAAGGGGAGCGCTAGGGGGTCGCCCCACTTGTCCTGAGTGAGGCGTGAGCTCACCCAAGTCTCTCCCCCGCCTCCCATGTCCCTCCAGGAGGCACCGCCAGCCACCTGCACGTGTGGGCTCCACGAAGCCAGGGTTCAGCCTCTTTTCTCCAACCTGAGAAAGCTTCGCCTGGTCTCCCTCACAATTGTCACTGTCCCCAGTGTTGGAAGCATCATTCACAGCTGAGTCAGGCAGACTGAGGTCTTTGGGGAGGGGGCCTCTCCCTGGAAGGCCTGTTATAAATCCATGGGGGCAACCTACACAGCCTCGTTCAACATCCCGAGCGGGCTGAGGACTCGCAGCCAAAGCTCCAGGCCAGTGAGTCCCGGCAAGGAGTGTGCCCGGAGCTGATCAGCTCCTCTCTCCTCCGTGCCGGGCCAGCAACACTACCGTGGGTCAAGAAATGCCGATCTGCTTTGGTGCCCGTCGGACAGAATCAGGGAATAAAAATGAAAACAAACAAGACCAAACATCAACCTGCAACCTGCAAACGCAGTGAGTCCATATGGCCTGACATACACATGTCCCAGAATCAAATGCAACTCATGTACCAGGTGCACCCACTCGTGTGGATGTTCTGTGCTGTGGCTTATTCTAGAAATAAAGATAAGCAAACGATGATGAAACATAAAAGAAGTAATCGAGCTGAGTGCACGAGAGGGGTGTGGGTGAGCACCTAAAGCAATGCTTCTCCAGTTCTGGCGTGTCCAAAGCCCCCGGGAGCTGACGGAGCACAGGGAGGCGCCACCGGGCTGGGCCCGGGGACCGTGCCAAGTCCCCGAGGGCATTCTGATTCCCACCAGCGTCTGAGAAGCACTGACTCAGGGCAGGACCAAGCTGAGCTCGAGGCTTCCGATCAGGAGGGGTCTGAGAGAAGCTGAAGTAGCTCAGGCGCAGTGAGGCGGAAGGGTTTCTAGGTCAGCCTCGGGGATGCATCTCCCCCAGGCCCAGGCACCCGGGGCTGCTCGGCTGGGTGGGCTGCCGCCCCGGCCCCCAGCCCCGGGCAGGGCCTGCACTTACTGGTGAGGACCTTGAGGGTGAATGGGTTCTTCTGCTGGATGGTGTGGGTAAAGTGGAAGCGGGCATTGCAGCTGTAGTCGGTCTGCATGTCCTGCACCGGTGGGCTGCGCCCCGGCCCCCAGCCCCGGGCAGGGCCTGCACTTACTGGTGAGGACCTTGAGGGTGAATGGGTTCTTCTGCTGGATGGTGTGGGTAAAGTGGAAGCGGGCATTGCAGCTGTAGTCGGTCTGCATGTCCTGCACCATCACGTTAGAGAAATACAGGTCCCCGTTATGGCCCTGGGAGACACGCTTGTCTTGGGTGATGGGCTCCATGGCTGTAAGGAAGCAGAGGTACGGGGAGGTTAGCAGAAATGGTAACAGTAACAATAATCGTGATGTTTCTGGCGAGTGGGCACCTGCAGACGGCCAGCCGGGGCCAGGTGCTCCACATTATTACCTAACCTCACTCTCAACTCTGAGGAGGGCTTATTCCCATTTTACAGCTAAGAAAGCAGAGGACTGAACTGTTCCGTTGCATAAGCAGTGAGGGAGAGGAGGATTTAGACTCAGCTCTGCCTGCCCACCACGCCCATGCTCTATGACCATACTTTTCTGTCTCCCATTCACACCACAAGAGATCAGACTGGCCTGGAGGCCAGAGGGAGGGGACATGATCCTTCAGATGCTCCCAGATCGGGAGTCAAATTCACTGGTTTTATTTTTTTATACCCCGTCCCCCGTCCAGTCCCCAAGAAAGCAAAAAGCACTACCAAATATAATTGAAAGATGCATACCAATCAATGGTGCACACCATCAGTTTTAGGATGCTTCTCAGTTTTGGAGATGGGAAAACAGGAAATGTGTGCTTTTTAGAATTAATGGCATCATAGGAGTGGCTGAGAATGCTGACTACAGTGTCCATATATTTTTCAAACACTGTGTCTGATGTCAATGCAAACGGCCAGGTCCCCAGGCTATCTGGGTTGTAAAAACCTACTGCTAGGGCTGCCTACTCATAGCAAACGCCTTCCTACCCCCAGGAGCGTTCTCTAAGCCACCATTTCTTAAAGCACCAGGTTAATGACACCAACTTTCTGACGATGGGCTGGTCAGCCCTACAAATCATTTATCTCAGATTTCCTGTAGGCCTACTATGCGCAGGCCCTGTGCTAGGTGCTGGGGAAAGAGAGATGAGTAAGAAAGCCAGTTCCTGCTGTCAAAGAGCCTGCAGTCTAGTAGGAGAGACAGTGGGTAAATAACTGACTGCAATGCAGTGTGGTGAGTGGGAAGCCCGGATAAGCAGGGGATGAGCCGAGAGACGGAGCAGCCAGTCCATTCTAGGGGCTTGAGCTGTGGCTTGAAGGCTGTGTAACATCTATAAGGCAGAAGAGAAAGGAGCTAAGATAGGGACAGTGTGTGTTAAAGGGGAGAGCCCCGGAGAAGGAGGGTGGGGGAGGGGAGGGGCGGGAGGAGAGCTGGAGAGGCAGAAGGGACTGGATCAGGAGGGAACTGTGTGCCAGGGAAAGGAGTCCAGACTGTGTCCGAGGTGATGGAGGAGCGATGAAAGGTTTTGAGCCTATGATTGAACTGTCACATTTGTTTTCAGAAAGACCAGGAAGGCCAGGTATGGGTAATTCCCGTAACCCAGGGAAATGTGGGTGGGGAGATGTCAGTGGGGATGGAAAGAGAAAAAAGGCCATGAGATCTGCTCAGAGGCAGTGTGACGAGTGTGACGCAGGGGCTGAGAGAGGAGGTTCTGACCTGTTAGCTCACAGACCAACGCCCAGTCTGTGGCCAGGCAGCCTTCCCCACAGATGTGCTCGGTGGCGAGGGGAAGAGATGGACAATGATTGGGCACAAAGCCACTCCCAGTCTGCAAAAGACCTCACCTGCTGCCTCATTGACAAGGCGGCCTCTTTGGTGAGAATTCGGGAATGGGGAGCATGGGATGGCAGGCAGGAAGGCGGGAGGGGTTAGACCAGGGGTGGGCAAACTTTTTGACTCGAGGGCCACAATGGGTTCTTAAACTGGACCGGAGGGCCGGAACAAAAGCATGGATGGAGTGTTTGTGTGAACTAATATAAATTCAAAGTAAACATCATTACATGAAAGGGTACGGTCTTTTTTTTTTTTTTTAGTTTTATTCATTTCAAACAGGCCGGATCCGGCCCACGGGCCGTAGTTTGCCCACGGCTGGGTTAGACCAACAGTTGGATGCATACATAGGGAAGAAGGAATGGAAGGCAGGGGGAGGTGGGAGAGAAGTGGAGGGAGGGAGGGAGGGGAGCCAGGAAGACAAATAGCAGTCTTCTTTTCACCCTCATAATGCCCCCCCCCCACTTTAGTTTGAAAACAGAGGAAGAAACTGAGGTCCAGAGTGATTAAATGAGCCTCAGTCCAAAATAGAGCTGGGACAAGCTCTGAATGATGGTGCACCGTCCCCCTGCTCCAAAGATCCTACCTCCCATCACTCCTCCATCAGAGGTTTCATTCTCGCATGCTCCACTTCTGTCCTAACAGGAAGTGCAAATCCAGACCAACCAAGGGTTGAAAGAGGCTGGGTACCACCCCACCTTCAATTGGCATATTAAAAACACAGTTTTTGCCCTGGCTGGGTTGACTCAGTGGTTAGGGTGTCGGACAAAAGGATCATGGGTTCAATTCCTGGTCAAGGGCACATACCTCGGTTGCAGGCTTGATCCCTGACCCCAGTCAGGGTGAGGCAACCAATCAATGTGTCTCTCTCACATCAATGTTTCTCTCTTTCTCTCCCCCTTCCTCCCTCCCCTCCACTCTCTCTAAAAAAATAAATAAAATTTAAAAAATCAATGAAAAAAAATACCCTTGGGTAAGGATTTAAAAAACACAGTTAATCCTCTTTTTTAATTCTTTTTACTTTTGCTCACAAATATTACCGAGTACTTACTGTGTGTCTGGCCCTGTTATAAGTATTTTGGATGCATTAACTTATTTATCCTTATAATAATTCTATTTGATAAGTACAATTACCAGCCCCATTTTCAAGAAGAGGAAACCAAGGCCCAGAGATGTTAAGCAACTTGCTCAAGATCACACAGCGAATAGCAGCCGGGCTTAGGAAATGAGCCCAATCAGCCTCTCCACAGAGCCTGTTCTTAGCCACGTGGCCACCTTACATCTGCTTCTCACAAGGCAACCCCCTCCCCCCATTTAACACGCCCACCCTCCTCCCTAAGATTAAAATGGACATAAAACACCGATCCCCAAGACTTACAGCTGCTCATCCAGAAGATAACTGGGGACGGAAGTCCGGGCGGCGGGTTGCACTGGAGTGTCAAGGGGGCGCCTTCTTGAACCACCACGGGATCTAGATTTTCCTTGGGCCACAGGGGAGATTCTGGGAGAAACACAGAGGAGGATGAAATGTGGGTGATGCTGGGGCCGGGCAAGGAGGGGGGTTAGGGGCCGGCATGTGAGGAGGGAAGAGGAAGCAGGAGGACAAGCGAGACAGGAGAGAGGGCCAGGCCCCTGGTCCAAGTGAGGCAGAGAAAAGAGGAGAGAGGCCTTTGTCTGAATGGATGCATGTCTTCAAAGGCTCCTCTCCTTCCGCTCCTCCTGTGCCCAGAATGGCCGGTGACATTGTTCAAGATTCTGGTTTAGAAGCTTCCTTTCCAAGGAATCGTTTTGAATTGGGGTGGCCCGCTTTGCTCAGAGGCAGAAAAGCAAGCAGGACCTGCAGGGCCCCCGCAAAGCACCAACAGGCCAAGGGCAGGGGTGGCCCTTTTAGAATGACCGTCCATGCCCCACCCCCATGCACCCAGGGGCAGGGCATCTCCACCCTGCCCCCCCCCACTCACTGGACACCTGCAGGCGGATCCTATTGGACAGGGCTGTGCCGAATTTGTTGCGGGCGAAGCACTGGTACTCCCCCTCATACTCCTCTGGCCGCCCTCCACTGCGGAAGTCGATCACCAGGGTCCCGGACCGCCTCCTCATCGACACCCGGGGGTCCTTGGCGACATTGAAGAACCTGCTGTTTCGAGTCCAGTGGAAGCTGTGGACAATGGGGTGGCGGGGGGGTGAGGCAGGAGCAACAGTAACAGGGTGGGTTCCGGGCTCCAGGCGACAATCTCAGGACCCTAGTCCCTGACTCCGTCACAAAACCACACCTTCATACCAACGGGCCCAGCCGGACACAGTGGCAGAACCACCTGGGCATCCTGAATGCAGCGTTCCCCCCCACCCCCAGGTGAATCTCGGGAGCAGGTCCCCGACAGCACTTGCACCAGCCAAGGCTGGGAGTCATGCTTCCACGAGGCACATACCGAGCAGCTCTTGGGGCCTATGTTCTTTGGAGGCGTGGGCAGTGATTTTTGTTTTTTAAAATCCAGAGTCAGCTGCCCCTCCCCACCCCCCAGGGCTTCCCAACCTCCAGCTAGGAATGCAAACCCAAGTCTCCATTTCCCCCAGGATGTGCTGGTTTGCTCCGCCTGCCTCCTCATTTGATAACAGGCTCTAAAGCAGTGGTTCTCAACCTTCCTAATGCCGAGACCCTTTAATACAGTTCCTCATGTTGTGGTGACCCCCAATTTCATTGTTACAAACTGAACATAATTAAAGCAGAGTGATTAATCACAAAAACAATATGTAATTATATATGTGTTTTCCGATGGTCTTAGGCGACCCCTGTGAAAGAGTCTGCAGCGGTTCTCAACCTGTAGGTCGCGACCCCTTTGGCAGTCGAATGACCCTTTCACAGGGGTCGCCTAAGACCATCCTGCATATCAGATATTTACATTATGATTCATAACAGTAGCAACATTACAGTTATGAAGTAGCAACGACAATAATTTTATGGTTGGGTCACAACATGAGGAACTGTATTTAAAGGGCCAGAAGGTTGAGAACCACTGGTCTAAAGCGAAGGGAGGCGGCTCCGGCTACCTGTGGCCCTGCTCAGTGGGTGGGATGTAAGGCAGTGGCCGCACATAATGGCCCAGAAGGGGCCGTGTTGAGAGAAAAATCAGCCTCCATCAACCTGAGCCCGGGTTAGAAGCATGTCCCTCTGCTTCTCCTGGGGGGACCCGTGTCTAGCCGCCCAGGATATAGCCTTAAAGAAGCAGGAGCAGCCGTGGCCGCTCAGCGTTAGTCATTGTCCCCATAAAGGAACATGGGGCAGCCCAGACCTCAGAGGCAAGGTCACTCAAGCCCTGCCTGACCCTTCGGGGCGAATCCTGCTTCTCCCACCGTGGGCGAGGAGGCTCTGCTGTTCCAGGCCCACAGCTCTTACATAGACGGGGGGGGGGGGGCGGGGGGGGCAAAGAAAGCTGCCACACACCTGAGGCTGCACCCTGCCTCCTTTCTCCTACTGAACCACCGCCCCCCCGCCCCCCGCGCCGCAACACATGGGGTCCTGTCATGTCTGGGTCTGAATCTGGCACGAGGCTACTGAAAGCTCCAGCCTGTGGGAGCTGCTCGGAGGATGGGGGAGGATAGCACACCATCTCCATCCACGTCGCCAGTGCTTGCCGTCCAACAGAAACACACCTGGCCTGGGTGACCTTGAAAAGGCACTGAGTGACCTTGGAAAGGTATTGAGTGTCTCTGTGCCTCCATCTCACTTCCCTTCACAAGGACGTAGGTCCTTCCCCTACACAACTCTGTGTGTGAGGAACAACTTGGACACAGAGCCTGGCACGCGGCAGGCTTTCAACTCGAGACTGCTGACCCACGTGACGCTGACGGTGCACACACACACACACACACACACAAGCAGGGACGAGCTCAGAACACACTCGGTGAGCTAGGGAGAGGGACTGCCTCTGAGCTAAGGGTGGCAGCACAGGCAGCGTTACGCTGAAAGCCAGAAAGCTCACCTAGTCCTGGCTTTGGTGTGACCTTAAGCCTCGTAGTTTCTGGTCCCAAGTTTCCTCATCAGCTAAATTTCCTAATTTCCCAAACTGTACTTTCTGCCTAGTGGGGGCTGAGTGGGTAAATGTAGTTTCTCGGAGGCCAGCTGTCACTGGGCCCGGGGCGCGGGCGGAGTCGAATGGCCCCTGTGGCCCCTCTGGCTCGCCCAGCCGGGTTTCCCGCCGGCGCACTCACCTGGGGGCCGGGTTCCCCTTTGCTTCGCACTCGATCAGGATGTTGTCGCGGGGATCCACAATGTGGTCCTTCACCGACTGCTTGGTGATGGTCGGGGGCTGGGACACTGCAACAGGGCAGACGGCAGGCGGTCAGGCTGCAGGAACCTGCCGGGCCCTGGCTCGGAGAACGGCTGGAAGTAAGAGCTTCGGAAACCACACAGAAAAGCAAGCAAGCAGGGTGGGCAGGGCCCCATCCAGAGACCGCGGACCGCGGGGAAGGGATGCGGGTCAGACACCCATTAAGAAGAATCCCTTTACGATGTCCCCGTATCCCCGTGAGAAACTGAAGGCCAGGCTTCTGTTTGACCCACTCTTCTGTCCAATGCTTAGTACAACGTCAATGTTTGTTGAATGAATATAGGAACAAAAAGCAGCTAGATTTTCAGAACTTAGTGGCTGTGATGGTTCTGAGCCCTGGAGGGTCAACAGATGGCCAACCTGTGGCGAGGACGGAGCAGAAAGAGGCTTTAGTCCCCAGAGAATTTCCCAGGGACTTGTCTGAAGGCCAGCGAGCATCTCCTCCCTCCCGGTCCTGAGCTGCACTTCTCCGGGGCTCCTGTGCCAGCCGCCCTTCTCACCCGCCTGCCTTTCATAGGCTGAGCCTCTCCCCTTCCCGTGTGGTAAGGGACCTCACCATAGAGCGCTGGTGTCAGGAAGCCGCAGCAGGCAGGGCAGAGAGGCCAAGGATCCCGGCGTGCCCTCACCTGGCCTCCGCCCGCCCACCTTCCTGCCCTCCTACCCCCCAGAGGCACAGGTGCAGAGAGGCGCCCGGGACTTACGCTCGTTCTGAATGCTGGCTGTTAGTCCGGTGGGTTAGCATTGTGAGGGGAGAGAAGAAGACATCAGTTATCACACAAGACCAATCGCCAGGTGTCCTCGGGGCCCAGCACGCAGGGAGGAGGGAGACTCGGGATGGGGGGGGTACTGTTCCCGAGCTCTCTCCTGCCAGCTGCAGAGCTCAGTGGACCCAGCAGGTGCTTCCTGGAGAAGGCGATGCCTCCCCCGAGACCAAACCACGCAGTGGAGCAGAAAGACCCGCTTCTGACCAAATGAAGGTGCCCCCAGGTAAGGCCAAACGTCGAAAGTGGCAGCACTGCTCCAAAGAGGCTGGGCTCTGAGGATGCCACCACCACCTCTAGATGCTCCTCGGCCAACCGTGCCGGGGTGAGGCTGAGAGCCAGGGAAGGGGTGGATCCACTGGTACAGGACAAAGCCCTGAGGGCCCAGCGAGGCCCACAGACCCGCTCCCGCACTGCCCCTTGCTCTCTCTCACACATGAAAGCACCGTCTTCCCTCACTGTCTCCTCCTTTGCCAGCCTCTGGACAACTCCATGGATGGATGAATGGTGAGTGCCCTGCTCCCGGCAGAAGCACCCGGCCCTACGGGAATCCCACTTCGGAACAACTGCGGTCAAGCCGGGCCCAACACCCCCCTCCCTGCTTTTTACAAAAGAGATAAACGGGCCGGTGGCCACACCTGAGATGCCGTGTACAGGCGTGTATGTCTCTCACACGTTGACAAGCACAGGGACCACTGGGGGTGATGTTAACATGCAGGTTCTGATTTGGTAGATCTTGCATTTCTCCCCAGCAGCCAAGTGGCGGGCTGTGGACCACGATTTACATACAAGGTTTTAGATGGTATGTTCTTGGTGGGGACCAGGTCTTGGTTGAAATTCGTCTGCAGAAAGCAGCACACCTGTTGCTGTAATGCTGAGAGATATCTTTTCCTCGTGATTATAGCAGAAGAGACTACGCCTTTCCCATTTCACGCGGTGTGGATGTCAGCGTTGTGCTGACTCTTTCCCAGGGAGTGCTTCCTGGGAGAAGCGGAGGCTGCTGCTGAGCCACGGTGACCTTGACGCTTTCGGACGGGACCCTATGAGACGTGGACGAGGAGTTCAGGGACTCAGAAGGGGGCAGTCGCTCAGAGAGGCAGAGGCAGAGTTAAGACGGGACCAAGAGCTGCAGAAAGAGTCACAGGAGAGAAGACAGGCAGCAGAGAGGGGAGGCGGCGGGTGGCAGGAACGGTGGCCTGCTGTCCACGCTATCAGTGAGTGGAAGTCTTAAGAGCAAGACCCACGGAAAGGCTCAGAGTAATTCCTTCAAGTGGCCGGGTCTGTGTGGCCGGCTGGGGCACAAAAGGGAAATTCTGTCTGGCCCCCCGGGTAGGAAACAGTAAGACATGAAACGCTGGGGGCGAAGCAGAAGTCTCTGGATTCTAAACGTGTGCTCCGTGCAGCTCCCACAGAGCAGCTTCACCCGCTGGGGTTTTCTGGAAGGACTGAAAGCAGTGGGTTGGTTTTGGACGGTACGTCCTCTCACGGGGGCGTGGGCGGTTGGGAGAAGGGGCCACTTTCAGGAGAAGCAGGGCTGACACTTGACCCACCCCTTTGACCGAAGCCCAGGCCGCTGGTTTGTCATCTCAAGGTGTCTCCTGGGCCCTCACTCACAGTTGAAGGCTCTGGCCTCCCCCAGGACGGGAACCCTGACAAGGGCTCTGCTGTGCCCGGGGGGCTCGCGCCTCTTTCATCAACTCAAATGCTGGCTCAGTGGAAAGATCCCTGGACGTTCTCCAGGGAGTCAAATCCAGGGAAGGGAAGTCCTTGGTCAAGATCCCCCCGGAAGTCTGTTACAGGACTGGGGTGAGAACCAGCTCTTCTGCTGCCTGACCCAGAGCTCCTGGTACAGACCCAGCCTTGGCCCGATGGGGCCATGGCCTCTGTTCTCCTTGACATTCTGGACAAAGGTAAGTCAGAGGAAAGACCTTGAGGGAAAAGAGACTCACGGGACAGTTAGAGCGGCCGGGATACGGATACTCAGGCAGCTCTACTGTGCCCCGGCCCCACACTGAAATCAGGCCAGGGGCTTCTTGAGAAGCTACTTGCCTCAAGCGGTAATGACATCTCCAGCCACAGTGTGCCACCAAGGAATTTATACAGGGACACAACCGACCCAGAAGACAAGCAGCCACAGGGAGAAGACAGTGGGGACCACCTGCCTAGACCACTCCCCCCACCCCCGTTCTCCATCCTGTGTCACACCACCTGCCCTTCTCTCCTATAGAACTTGTTAGATGACGAATGTCGAGTGGAGAATACATTTGTTCTTTTGGCTCCCAAGACGGAGGAAAGTCTTCCAACAGACTCTGCAGGGGGTGAGGCAGATGCGGCCCAGTATTCATGCACCCCTTTTCTTTCCCTGACTCTGACCTGTGACCTCTGGGCTCATCCCTTGGAGGATGGAGTGAGTGTGAGTGTGAGTGAGCATTGAGCCCTCCTGCAGCACTGTTTGGGGTGACGGGGAGGAGTACCAGGCCACTGCCCTCCGCTGTGGGTTCCTGGGAGAAAAATGCTGAGTCCCCTGATGTGGGGAGAGAGACAGGGGAAGCTGCCAGCAGACTCTCTTTTTGGCAAGCCCTCTTTGGCTGATGAGGTGACTCTTTGCTTTCTTCAAAGGTCACACTGTCCTTGAGGCTGGGGAGGGGGTGCGTGTGACTCCGTTGGCAGAGTGATGGTGACTGGAGGCTGGGCACTTCAATGAGGGACTGTGTAGCAGCCCAGGGCTCTGTTCCTGGAAGCCTGCTGCACCCAACCCCCCTCAGAGCAGAAGCAATGCCCTATCTTCTTGCACAGAAAATGCCCCATATGGGGCAAGGGAGCAGAAGGGCACACCTGGCGGGGCAGCCTCTGGCCTGAACCCCCTCACTCCCCCTGCCCCCAACTCACAGGGAAAGTGAAGTGCCTAATCTTAGGTGGTGTCCCCATGTCTTGGCCATTGTGAAGAATGCTACAAGGAAGGGGGCGGTGCAGATATCTCCTGCCTTAAGCCACAACATGGATGGACCTGGAGGGCAATTATGCTAAGTGAAAGAAGCCAGACAGAGAAAGACACATCCTGTATGTTCTCACTTATATGTGGAATCTAAAAAAGTCAAACTCAAGAAATAGAATAGAATGGTGGCTGCCAAGGTCTAGGGGGTGAGCGGTATTGGTCAGAAGGTACAAACTTCGAGCTGTAAGATGGATACATTCCTGGAATCTAATTCACAGCATGGCAACGCTAATGAACAATACAGGCATACCTCGAAGGGGGTTGATTCAACAAAGCCAATCTTGCAATAAAGTGAGTCACAGGAAGTTTTTGGTTTCCCCGTGCATATAGAGGGATTACACTATTCTAGAGTCTACGTGCGCAATACAGACCACCATGACAAAGCCAATCTTGCAATAAAGTGAATCACAGGAAGTTTTTGGTTTCCCCGTGCATATAAAGAGGGATTACACTATTCTAGAGTCTACGTGCGCAATAGCATCATGTCTAAAAACAATGTGCATCGCTTAATTAAAAAATAATGTGTTGCTGAAAAATGCAAACCATCATCAGAGCCTTCAAGGATCTTGCCTTGACGTTGATGGCTGCTGAATGATCAAGGTGGTGGCTGCTGTAGGTTGGGCGACCGTGGGAATTTCTTAAAATAAGACAACCATAAAGTCTGCCGCATCGATGGATTCTTCTTTTCACTAACAGTTTCTCATAGCATGCGATGCTGTTTGATAGCATTTTGCCCACAGAACTGCTTTCAAAACTGGAGTCAGTCCTCTCAAACCCTGCGGCTGCTTTAACAACAAGTTTATGTGACATTCTAAATCCTTTGTTGCCATTTCAACAGTCTTCACAGCACCTTCACCAGGAGTAGATTCCATCTCAAAAAAAATCACGTTCCTTGCTCATCCATCAGAAGCAATTCCTCATCCTTTAAAGTTTGATCATGAGATTGCAACAATTCAGTCCCATCTTCAGGTTCCACTTCTAATTCTAGTTCTTTGCTATTAGCTGCTTTAACAAGTTTATGTGACATTCTAAATCCTTTGTTCCGTTTCAACAGTCTTCATAGCACCTTTACCGGAGTAGATTCCATCTCAGAAAATCACGTTCCTTGCTCATCCATCAGAAGCAATTCCTCATCCTTTAAAGTTTGATCATGAGATTGCAGCAATTCAGTCCCATCTTCAGGTTCCACTTCTAATTCTAGTTCTTTGCTATTTCCACCCCATCCACTGAAGCCTTGAACCCCTCAAAGTCATGCAGGAGGGTTGGAATCAACTTCTTCCAAACTCCTGTTAATGTTGATATTCTGGCCTCTTCCCATGAATCATGAGTGTCCTTAATAACTTCTAGAATGGTGAATCCATTTACTTTGCCCAGATCCACCAGAGAATCACTATCTATGGGATCTATAGCCTTACAAAATGTATTCCTTAAATAATAAGAGTTAAAAGTGAAAAGTATTCCTTGATCCATGGGCTGCAGAATGGATGATGTATTAGCAGGCATGAAAATAACATTAATCTCCTTGTACATCTCCATTAGGGCTCTTGGGTTCATTGTCAATGAGCAGTAATATTTTGAAAGGAATCTTTTTTTTCTGAGCAATAGGGTTCAAAATGGGCTTAAAATATTTCATAAACCATGATATAAAGAGACATGCTGTCACCAAGTATTTGTTGTTCCATTTATAGAGCACAGGCAGGGTAGATTCAGTGTAATTCTTAAAAGCCCTAGGATTTTTAGAATAGCAAATGAGCACTGGCTTCAACTTAAAGTCACCAGCTGCATTAGCCCCTAACAAGAGAGCCAGCCTGTCCTTTGAAGCTTTAAAGCCAGGCATTGACTTCTCCCCTCTAGTTATAAAAGTCCTGGGTGACAGCCCTCACCAGTTTGGCTCAGTGGATAGAGCGTTGGCCTGTGGACGGAAGGGTTCCAGGTTCGATTCCGGTCAAGGGCACATGCCTGGGTTGCAGGCTCGGTTTAACGTGCAGGAGGCAGCCAATCAATGATTCCCTCTCATCATTGATGTTTCTACCTCTCTCTTCCTCTCCCTTCCTCTCTGAAATCAATAAAAATATATATTAAAAAAATCTTAAAAAAAAAGTCCGGGGTGACAGCCTCTTCCAATAGCAGGCTGTTTAATCTACATGGAAGATCTGTTGGTTAGTGCAACCATCTTTGTTCATTATCTTGGCTAGGTCTCCTGGATAGCTTGCTGTGGCTTCTACATCAGCACCTGCTACTTCACCTTGCACTTTTATGTTATGAAGACAGTCTTTCCTTAAACCTTATGAACCTACCTGTGGTAGCTTCAAACGTTTTGTCTGCAGCTTCATCACCTCTCTCAGCTTCATAAAATTTGACAGAGTCAGGGCCTTGCTCTGGATTAGGCTTTGACTTAAGGGAATGTGGCTAGTTTGATCTTCCAGCCAGGCCACTAAAACATTCTCCACATCAGCGACAAGCTGTTTTGCGTTCTTATCATTCGTGTGTTCACCGGAGTAGCATTTTTCATTTCCTTCAAGAATCTTTCCTTTGCATTCACAACTTGGATCTGCAGCACAGGAGGCCCAGCTTTCGGGCTGTCTTGACTTTGGATGTGCCTTCCTCACTGAGCTTAATCATTTCTAGCTTTTGATCTGAAGTGAGAGACGTGCAACTCTTCCTTTCACTTGAACACTTTGAGGCCACAGTAAGGTTATTGATTGGCCTAATTAAAACACGGTTGTGTCTCAGGGAATCAGTGGAGCAGTCAGGACACATGCAACATTTATCAATTAAGTTTGCCATTGTATATGGGCATGATTTGTGGTGCCCCAAGACGGCTTCAATGGTAACACCAAAGGTCACTAATCACAGATCACCGTAACAAATAGAACAATCATGGAGAAGTTTGAAATACTGCAAGAATGACCACAGTGGGACTCAGAGACCCGAAGTGAACAAATGCTGTTGGAAAAATAGTGCCAGCAGACTTGTTCAAGGGGGGGGGGGTTGTCACACACCTTCAATCTGTAAGGAACGCAGCATCTGTGAAGCACAATAAATGAGGTTGCCTGCACTACATTATACTTGGAAGTTGTTAAGAGAGTAGACCTTGTAAGTCATCGCCACACACACACAAAGGTAATCACCTGAGGGGATGGATGTGTTAACTGATCCTACTGTGGCCATCATTTCGCCATTCACACATGTAGCAA